AACAAACATTCAACCAACGCCTTTTTATACTGTAGTGGACAGAAACTATGGTAATTTAGATACTGTCCAGTCCATGTTGACTTTCTGTAGACAGATCGCTTTATTGACCCATCTTCTCTGCGGGTTATGAGTACATCTAAAAATGGCAGGCATCCATTATTCTCTTTAACATAAGTTAGCGATATACTATTTTGTGCTCTGTTGATCTGGTTTAGGATTTCTATGGCGTCGATCGGTTGATCACAAATGACAATTATGTCATCTACATATCTTTTATAGAAATAAACTTTTCCAATTTCTTTCTCCACTAGGTTCTCAACATGCGACATATATATGTCAGCTAATAATGGACCTAGGGGGCTTCCCATAGCAACACCATCGATCTGGCGATAATGCTCGCCCTCGAATGTAAACTTAACATTTTTAGTACAGAGAAGCAGTAACTCTTTTAAGTAAGATGTAGATACTGGTAATAAGAAATCATTGTCAGAAATAAAGTCACATAAAATGTTAACCGTCTGTAAAAGAGGTACATTTGTAAATAAAGATTCGACATCTAGGGAAAACATGGTTTTGTCTTTTATATTAACGTTATCAAGACAATCAATTAACTCAAAAGTGTCTTTCAAAGAGAACTTACAGAAACTTCTCCTAACAGGCTCTAGTATTTCCACTAGCCACTATGCAAGTTTGTGGGTTGGAGATCTGCACATTGACATTATGGGACGTAGAGGAATGTTAGGTTTATGTGTTTTGGGTAGACCATACATGTGTGGTAATTGAGACTGTGTGGGCTTTAATGAATTGAATTTTTCTCTGTTAATTGCATTCATGTTTAAAAGTTTTACTAGATTATTTGTCACCATATTTTGTACATTCTTAAAATCCTCAGGACCGGAGTCTCTCATAAATTTATCGTTGTTTCCAAGAATGCATAACATTTTACTTTTATATTCAATTTTGTCCATTATAACTACACCTGACCCTTTATCTGGTCTGAGGATAACGATGTCAGTATTATGTTTGAGTTCTTTTAACGCTTTAAAGTGCTCAGGTGTTAGGATACTTTTCTGAAATGTACGACTATTGCAAAATTGGTGAGCAATGTCCACTAACTTTGCTTTGAACCAACTGTGATAATCTTCAGAAACGGGAGTAAGAGGCTTCAATTGGTCATATAGATTTTCAAATTGTGCGTGTACTTCAAGTTCTGAGAAATACTTTTGAGGAACGCAAAATTTAAATCCAAGTGATAAGGCTTGTTCTTGTAACGATGAAAGAGTTATGGAAGATAGGTTGACAACGTATTTCTCTGGATTGACAGGGAAAGGAGTTACAAGTTTATTGTCATTGAGTGATTTGTCTAGCTTCTTACGCATGTTTTCTCTTGTTTTACCAGCGAGAGATGCACAGAAGGCAATGAATTTCATGTGACATATTAAAGATAATTCCGACAAAACAGATGAAGCAGATGTATGAATCAGCAATAATTGTTGCAGCTTTTCTTCTGCTTTTTCAATATGTGATTTGGCAAGGCAAATAAGGTTGGAATTATTTGGTTGCAGTTTACTTGATTTCAAAATTTTATAGAAATGTCTTGGGTAGGTGTGATTAAAAATACATGATTTCTAAAATTCCAGTCTTTCGCGTTCAGAAATAATTTTGCACTTACAGTTCACAAGATCATCCAGCTTCTTGATAGTGCAGGGAGGGAGTCTTCTCTTCAAAAATTTAAAGCGATTGGTTCCCTTTATGAATATCGACAAAACAATAAGAAGATGTAGTTTATCTGAAACGTGTAATGTATTGGTTCAACACATTTCGGACATTCTGATCATTCCATTAGTACATCTATGATGAAATTGAATAGAAATGGTGATAGTGGGCATCCCGACCGAAAGCTGCTACCTTGACGTGGTAGTCGGGCTTGAACACCCCAATGTCCCAACAAGCTATACTGGCTGAGATTTATGTCTCTTGACGTCCTACCATGCCAGAAAGGTTATTTGGATAGCGGTTAAACAAAAAGCAGCTACCCAATCCAACATCATGATCAATACAAAATCACAAAATATCATGCCGGATCGGCCGTGGCTCGGATTAACAACGACCGCGCTTCCTGCTGCCGTGTCACAGGGCAGGAGTGATAAATATGCTACTGAGACACACCAAACAATAAAGAATGAACAGAACAGGCTGCGTGTGACCGGCCTCAAGCAGTTGTCCCCTGGGCTCTGCGGTCACGCAACCAACTTCCACGGGCTGGGCAGCCGGGAAGTAACAATCGCCCTCACAATCCGAAATGCACACAAAACCTCTCTAATCCTCACTCATCTTTGTCTTCATCTCTATCATCTTGCCTTCCTTCCACTGATGCAACTACACTGCTTGACAGCTCTTCACTTCCTCTTCACTCTGTGTCCACTAAAAACGACGGAAGCCGAAAAACCACCACCGATGGTCTCCTAAAGCCACGCCACCAATTTCATATAGGAGCATTTAATGTTAGCACACTTTGCCAAACAGGACAACAAGCATCACTAGCCAAGACTCTGGCGTCCCAAGCCATTGATGTATGTTGTGTTTCAGAAACATACATACAAGACCCAAGTGTGGTTATTCACCTAACCCCACCTGGCCAACAGGATGAATCTGCAAAATTCACCTTAAGGGTGTCAGGAGATGCCACAGCTAGTTCACGAGGATTAGCTGGCGTAGGGATAGCTCTGAGTACTAGGGCAGAAAAGACATTACTTGACTGGATCCCGGTAGATAGCCGAATGTGTGCTGTCTGTCTGAACGGATCAGTAAAAAAGAGAAAGGACTGCATTACTCGCCGCTGCCTTTTCGTAATCTCCGCCCTCACTGACTGCAGTTCGGATGAAACGAAAGATGAGTTCTACCAAAAGCTGTCTAATTTGCTGCGAAAGGCTAAACGCTCAGATATAGTCGTTCTAGCTGGTGACTTTAATGCCCAAGTAGGGAAATTGTGTCAATCTGAGAAGGATGTTGGTGGCACTTATGGAGTCCCGTGCCAGCGAACCGACAACGGTGACCGTCTCCTACAGTTCTGTTCAGATAATCATTTGTTTCTTGTAAGCACTAACTTCAAACACAAGGAGAGACACTGTTTGACTTGGAGACCCCCTTCATCAAACCAATGCTGGACACAAATAGACCACATAGCAATAAGCTATCGTTGGCGTGGGTCGGTAGGAGATTGTCGCTCCTTGTGGAACACGTGTGTAGATACCGATCACGCACTGGTCCGCGCTCGTGTGTGCATACGACTGAACGGACGTAGGAAACAGCTGGCGGTAAACCCATCACGTCCCCAGCTCGATCAGGAAACTAAACCCCTATTTGAGGAAGAACTAGCTAAACACATATCTGAGTTCGACAGCTGTGCTCACCCTGAAGAAGCTTGGAAGAATATTCAGTCAGCCATAGATATAGCTGCAAAGGCTGTGAATAAGGTAAATCCAAAGGTGAGTAAAAACCACTGGATCTCTACCGCCTCACCCGAACTGATAGATGCTAGAAGACTTATTTTGGCGAGCTCCGAATTCAATGAGGAGCGAAAGCTGCACAAAAGAAAACTTACGAAAAGTCTCCGCAAGGACCGGGAACAGTGGTGGCTGACAAAGGCGAAAGAGATGGAGAAAGCTTCGGCGATAGGCAACTCTTTAGACTCATCAGGGAAACGGGTGGGAGAAGGCAAATCGTAAGTGAAACAATCTCGGAGAAAAATGGCACCATAATTAATTCCCAGGATAGACGACTGGAACGCTGGGAAGAGCACTATGAGGAGCAGTTTAATCGGCCCACAGCCACGCTCAACCTCCCTGAATGGGATATAGTCACAGGTCCTCCTTCCCTAACTTAGGTCTCTAAAGCTGTCACCAATCTGAAACAAGGCAAAGCAGCGGGACCTGACGAAATGACTCCAGAGGTATTTAAGTACGGTGGAGACAGCTTACTGTCTGCATTAACTGAGGTTCTAGGCAGCATCTGGGAATCAGACGAAGTCCCATCGGGTTGGTGTAAGTCACTGATTATCCCCATATACAAGAAGGGAGACAAGTCTTCCTGTGATAATCACAGAGGGATTAGCTTGACTAATATAGTATCTAAAGTCCTAGGCTCAATAGTCACGCGTAGACTAAGTGGTGCTCGAGAGGCACAGACACGGGAGAGCCAGCCAGGCAGGCTTTAGACCAGGAAGAGGGTGTATTGATCATATCTTCACCCTTCGATAGATTCTAGAGCATAGGCATTCCTACCGGCGCCCAACAATCATTATATTCCTTGACCTAAAGGCAGCATTCGATTCTGTCGACCGAGAGGTTCTCTGGAGATGCTTGGCTGTAAAGGGAATGCCGAGAAAATACGTTGCACTGATCATGCCACTCACTCTACTCGTACTCATACAGCTAGGTGAGGGCTTACGGTGAGTTGTCATCTGAACTGGTGACGACTAGTGGTGCCCATTATCCCATTTCTATTTAACTTGATCATAGATGTACTAATGGACTTAACCCTAACTCACTTCAGCGATTCAGGGATTGACTTGCTACCAGGGACTCATCTCGTTGACTTAGAATATGCAGACGATATAGTCCTAGGCGAGGACGCTGACAAAATGCAGAGTCTTCTAAACACCTTGAGCTGCAATCTACGAATGTTTGGCATGCGATTCGCTCCTACTGTAAAATGTAAGATGATGTTACAGGACTGGACTACACCGACTCCTAGATTAAAAGTAGGAAGTGAAGTGGTAGAGCACATTGACCGCTTCATTTATTTGGGAAGTACCATCAGCCAATGCCAACGGGTTGATCTCTGACGAAATCTCAGCACGGATGCAGGGGGCTCGTTTCGCATTTGCCAGCTTACGCCGTCTCTGGCGTAGACGAAATATCCGACAATCGACCAAAGGGCGGGTGTACTGCTCATCAGTCCGCTTCGTCTTCCTTTATGGTTGTGAGACCTGGCCACTGAGAGTGGAAGACATGAAAAGATTATCTGTCTCTGATCATATGTGTCTGCGCTCTATCTCCTTTCTGAAGTAGTAGAATAAGATGAGCAATATACAGAAACTTCAGCACAATGAACGTCTTCGCACCAAAAGTAAAAGTCTGTGTGGGGACATGGAACGCACGCACTATGTACGAGACAGGGAAAGCTGCCCAGATCGCAAACGAGATGAAAAGATACGGCATCCAAGTGCTGGGAATATGTGAAAGCAGACGGAATAGCAGTGGACTCATCAAATTGTTAACGGGTGAGTCAGTGATCTACTCCGGTCACCCAGAAGATAACCACACGCACACGGTTGGCGTGGCTATCATGATGTCACCAACGGCAACAAAGGTCTTGATGCAATGAGAGGCGATCTCGTCCAGGATAATGACCGCTAGATTCAACTCCAAAGGAAGGAAGGTGTCAATCATACAATGTTATGCACCCATAAACAACGCAGACCTCGAAAAGTAAGAAGAATTCTACAGACAACTACAGGCAACAATGGACAATACTCCAGCTGGCGACATGAAAATACTTATGGGAGACATGAACGCCAAACTGGGACCAGACAATACAGGAAGGGAACTCATCATGGGTAGAGAAGCTCTCGGAGAAATGAATGAAAACGGAGAACTCTTCGCCGACTTCTGCGCCTTCAACGAACTAGTGATTGGTGGCAGTGTATACAAGCACAAAGATATCCACAAGGCTACATGGGTGTCACCAGACGGGCAAACCAAAAACCAAATCGACTTCATCTCAATCTCAAGGAAGTGGAGGCGCAGCCTACTGGACACAAAAGCAAGAAGAGGAGCAGACGTTGGCTCAGACCACTATCTCGTACAAGGGACAATCCAAATCAAATTAAAAGCTTTCAGGGAAACAGGAGCTGCAGATAAACCACAAGCCAAGTTCAACACTCAAAAGCTGAAGGACCAGGCTACAAAGGACATCTTCATTGCAAACATACGAGACAGAGCTGAGACACAAATCAACACTAGTGAAAAGGTCGGCGTCGAAAAGCACTGGGAAAACTTGAAAACGGTGTGGAGTCAAACCTGCATGGAAGTTCTAGGCAGAAAGAAGAGACAGGACGAACAGTGGCTCACTACGGACACTTGGAAACTAATAGAAGAGAGAGGGACAGTGAAACAAAAGATTATCCAGTGCACTGACGAGCAACAAAAACAGGAGCTGAATGCAAGCTACAATACACTGAACAAAAGAGTGAAGAAGAGTGCCAGGGAAGACAAAAGAAAATATTATGAAACCATGGCAAACGAAGCAGAACAAGCTGCAGGCAAAGGAGACCTCCCCACACTCTACCAAACAACTAGGCACCTTTCGGGCAAAAGTTCGACACAGATTAAGCCATTAAAGGACGACAATGGAAAGTCAATCACCAAAGAGGTGGAACAAAGAAAACACTGGGCTGAACACTTCAAAGGACTTCTAAATCGTTCGCCACCTAAAACACGCCCAACAATACCAACAACGGAAGCAGAACTACCAGTGAACATTGATCCCCCGACGAAATCAGAAGTCCTGAATGCAATCAAGATGCTAAAAGCTGAAAAAGCAGCAGGAACAGATGGAATCCCAGCAGAAGCTTTGAAAATAGACCCAGAGACAACAGCGGACTTGATGACACCACTGCTGGAGAAGGTTTGGAAAGAGGGCAAAGTACCCGAGGATTGGAAGAACGGATACTTATTCAAACTACCAAAGAAAGGAGACTTAAGTCAATGCAAAAACTGGCGTGGAATTATGCTTCTGTCCATTCCAAGCAAAATACTAAGCCGAATCATCCTGGAGAGAATCAAACAAACCCTGGATGAAAAACTCCGACCGGAACAGGCCGGATTCAGGAGAAACAAATCATGTATTGATCAAATCGCCACTCTACGGATCATCATTGAACAAAGCTTGGAATGGCAGTCACCCCTCTATCTCAACTTCATCGACTTTGAAAAGGCCTTTGACAGCGTCGATCGAGAGGTCATTTGGCAACTACTTCGCTACTACGGGGTCCCATCGACAATTATACATCTCATCCAACAGTTATACGACAATGCTGCATGCCAAGTAATCCACAACGGGAAACTTACGGAATCCTTCGAAGTGAGGACGGGAGTGAGGCAAGGCTGTCTACTATCACCAATGATTTTCCTGATTGCAGTAGATTGGACAATGAAACAGACAACGGCAACCAACGAGGGAACAAGCATAAAATGGACTGACACAAAAGACTTGGAGGATCTGGACTTCGCCGATGATATATGTCTGATTTCCCACAAACTGGAAGATATGCAAGTGAAAAGCAACAAGTTGGCAGAAGAAGCATCAAAGATAGGACTTCAAGTGAACATAGATAAAACAGAGGTGATGAAGATTCCTGGCCAACAACAACAGCAGCAACAACAACAACAGACAACAATCAGCATAAATGGGAGGAACCTGAAAGTAAAAACCTCCTTTACCTACCTGGGAAGCATCGTTTCAACTACAGGCGGAACCGACGAGAATATCAAAGCCAGAATCGGAAAAGCAAGACAGGCTTTCATTACTCTCAAATCTGTGTGGAGGTCAACATCACTCATCATCAAAAATAAGATCCATATTTTCAACTCCAATGTAAAGTCAGTGCTACTATACGGATCAGAGACTTGGCGAGTCATAAAGAGCATCTCGAACAAACTTCAGACCTTCATTAACAGTTGTCTTCGCTCAATACTCAAGATCAGATGGCCAGAAAAGATCAGCAACAGGGATCTCTGGCAATGAGCGAACCAACAGCAGGAACCGATTGTCAAACAAATAGGCAGGAAGAAATGGAGATGGATTGGCCATACTCTGAGGAAACCATCAAGTGACATCACTGGACAAGCCCTCGAGTGGAACCCGAAAAGGAAGCGGCGAGTTGGTCGTCAGTCAAGGGTGACTTGGAGGAGGTCATGCGAGGAGGAGATGAAAGCATGTGGACAGACCTGAAGCGGGGTGAAAAAGTTGGCAGAAAACAGAAGGCGATGGTGGTGCGCAGCTGAAGCCCTATGTTCCTCTAGGAACTAAAGGATACAATAATAATATTGAGGTTAGGCGTCGAGTGCTAGGTAAGGAGGGGAAGTCAATCGACGAGGTTGTGAAGTTACATCGACTGAGGTGGTTAGGACATGTGTTACGTATGCCTAGTCATCGCCTTCCTCGACGAGCAATGTTAGCGGATATAGGGTCAGGCTGGAAAAAAGCTAGCGGAGGTCAAACAAAAACATGGTACCAGTCAATGAAATCCACAACAGTTAGTTTAAGCCACGTAGGAAGGTGTAGACTTCCTAGTTGGGGGTCCTCGGGACGGTAAAACCAATGGTTGGAAAAAATTGGTGACATGGTTCAAAATCGTTCTCAGTGGCGCAGATGCATCCACTTCTTGTGATTTATGATTTCCAGTGAAACTGTTTTGTTCTTCGTTACTACTATTTCTTTTGTCTCACACCTCTGCTTACGGTCTCTATTGTGCTTTTCTTGTACTTTCTTCTCTTGCTTTGTGTGCTACATGGAGTGTGGCGTCTTGAACTTCCGCACATATGTGCAAAGTCCTACGTCGAAAAGATACTTCAAATTGAAGTATGCGCTGAAGATGTCACCCAGTAAGGTGATGAAAGCTTCGCAAACTAACCATCCAGCTCAGAGAACAAAACCACATCAAAATACATTTATTCCCCTGTATGGATTTGAATAAAAGAAGAACAACAGTTTGCACAGAATAAAATGGTGGCATTATTTATTTAATTGGCTTCTCATCAGCTGCTCAGTCTGAGGATATTATTAAGTTTATGTACATAACAGAATTTAACATACTTACCCAAATTGTTCAATCGTGGAGTTGTAACTCGTTGACCTTCAGCAAATGAGTCCTGGGTCCCAATCCCGCTTTAAGTACTGAAATCTAGGCAGGTGTGTAGCTCGGACTATAAGTGAGATCATGCTGTTATTTGTATATTTTAAGGTATGTTGTCGTGTTCTGTGGTCTTCTAGGCTAAGAACTTTGCTTTACGAAAGTCATTTCACTAATACAGATTGTTGAGTTGCTATCTGTCTGGGGTAATAATCGTATTCATTGTATGACTACCTATTTAAACATTATGCGACATAAGACTTTTAATATTTCCATTTTTTCATAATGAACTTGAAGTTTGTGCTTGCACTGCTTAGCAAGTCTGTTAATGCTTGTTCGGTGCACTTTTCTGAACATTTTTATGTTCTATGAAATTACTAGCTGACGAAAATTACGAGTTGCTTTCGAGGCAAATAAACTTTCAGCGAACCGCATGATATTATCTTCCGAAAATCATTGAGATTTGAAAATATGAAACGTAAGCGTGACAAGGACAACAATAAGATTAAATGACCATATCACGTTAATACAGTTTAACAATTTCTGTATTCGTTCATTTTCTTTTAATTTTGAAGATATTCTAACTAAGGCCTATATTTTATGATTGTTGTATTCCGTTCTTGAAAAAGGGACAGTTTTCTCCATAATACCAGTCATGACCACTATGTGTAACTTTTATGCATTGTAAGGTGTTCGAAGAACATATTATCTCTTATAAATCAAAAGCAGTTTTGTAGGTACCTACCTACTGGGGTATCTGAAATGGGAAAACAGAAGTAGAAAAACTGAAATTATGTAGGTTTCATGAAGTTAGTCTCAATGTCTGCAGCAGAATACCAGTCTTGATTTCATTTCTTGATAGCATGGAATTTCTGATGTGACTCTGATATGTATCCACATATATATATTTATGTGTGTGTGTGCATGTTGGTCTCTCTTTCTGTTTGCTCGGTTAGTGTGTGACCACTTCACTTGTATGGACTTGTCTCCTTTAATAATGTGTATTCTCCTTATATTATATATAATATGAGTGTTTGTTGACAGTCCGTTGCTTGGTGACATATATCCATATATGTTTGTTGGCATGTCTGCTATATTCGCTATGTATAATTGGATCGACACTCCATTATAATTAGCCATTCATGTTAAGACTGTCTAATGATTTTTCCCACGCCTGTCTGAATTATTTTATATATATTCGCATTTACAATTTGTGTGAACGACTTTACTTTACAACTACTTTACTTACTTATCATTTTGGTGTGAGACCATTTATTTTCGTCTCCTTGTGTTTGGACAATAGAAGTATCATCGCAAACCTAGTGGTCTTCTGATTTCCGCCTTCTTGCGTCAGGACTATTGGTTTCTCGACCAGACCATAACAATAAATTTGTCGACGAGTACACAACAGACTTTCATAATTTTATGATGTCTTTGAGGAAAAACTGAGAAGAAATATACAGCACTTATTAACTGTGTTTGTGTCTAACGTGCATTGTGTATTCTTGGCTGAGCAGTAGTCCCTGGTTTTTATTGGTTCTGTGACTGATATCAGTTCATGATCTAACTTGAATTACTGGATGTATTTTCACATTATAATACGAGTCATCATGTAATTAAAACTGCGAATGCATTACCATGTACTACTTCCTTACTAACCTGTGAACTTTTCCATGAAGTCTCACGATATCACGTAACAAACTGTAAATGCGTGATGACGTTTTTACTTATATCATACTGTAACTAATATTGAGTAATAGGGGGTGACATAATTGATATAATTACTCAGAAGTGGCTTTAGAAGTGAAAATTCAAAGTTGTAAATTACGTGGTACTCAACGGTACAAAGATAGAAATTTGATAAGGTTAAAATTGCTATTGGGTGAGAATAAAGGTTTTTGAGTGTCAATTTAGCAGGTGTGAAATGTACAGAAGGAGCATAAGAGAGTGATAATAGTGAATTAATCATTAAAGCAAAAGCAAACTGAAAGTAAAATTAAAAGGAAAAGAAAAAATCAAAATTTTTTACAGGGAATGATTAGTGAAGAGGTTAAGACCAAGGTAGAATAAGAGACTAGACAAACTTTTTCTGTATACACAGTTAAGGGTTGTATTAACGAATTGCCAGCGCCTCCGCCATACACAAAAGCCGAAACCTGATGCCCTTTGTACCATTTGGCTTCACTTTGTAGATGATCTTGAAAGACGACTCTGGTGGAGCTACGTGGACTGAGTTCACCAAATCCTCGAGAATTGAGCTAGTAATTGTCCCTTTGCTAACCATGCCGGATAATGTTCAGAGATGCGTTTGGAAAGCGTGCGCTTTATACTGGTCGCCAGTATCTTTGTGTTGTTGAGTACCACGTAATTTACTGTAGCTAATGTTTGTCTCAAAAGAAAAGTCCTGCCGCTTTTTAGACTTACTAAATTGCCTATTCCTTTCTTTAATTTTAGATATTTTGGTGACTTTATGCAACATTTAGCCCTAAATCATCTGCGGTTAATAGCGTGCACTGTGTATTCAAAAAATGGTTGGTTTATTTCCGGATATTTATTGTATTTATCATATAGATAAACTTTTTACTATTATTTAGTCGTCAAGGTAAAGTGCGGCTGCAGAAATGGTATAGCTCTTATACGGAGAAGGAAAAGAAGAAGTACTTGCGTGAAATTATATCCCTTGTGTTTGCGCGGAAACCAAAAATGTGTTCCTTTCTTGAATGGCAAGATCTAAAGATTGTATATAGAAGGTGTGTCTGTGTTTGAAAATTTTTTAATCTTTTCCCTTTAACAGATATGCAAGTCTGTATTTCGTATGCGCCATTGATCAAACGGATAATGAACTGATCACTTTGGAGATTATCCATCGCTATGTGGAGATTTTAGACAAATATTTTGGAAATGTAGCCATCGTTTTATATAATCTTCCTTTATAAGGTCTGTGAATTAGACATTATCTTCCATTTTGAAAAAGCGTACTTTGTTTTGGATGAATACTTGTTAGCTGGTGAAGTTCAAGAAACTGGTGCGAAAGAAATACTTTCTGTTATAGACGCACAAGATATTATCCAAGAAGTGGGTTGTGTAATTATATACTACTGATACGTTTTAGGATGAAGTCCCTCAAAAACTTTTCGAAGACCAAAGTCTCAACTGAAACCAATCCCTCATTAGGGTCATCAGAATTTCTAGATCTCATGTTAAGTTACTCCCATGGCACTGTCAGATGTTTGAAAAATAAATTTCTTTTTAATACCACCTTAATATTATAGCAGAGTTATGCCTTGTGAAAACGAAAAAAGATATGTCTTCGAATGGTTCGATAAGTAAATATTTTAAATTGTTTCAGGTTATCTGGTAGTTATTCAACCTGATTTAGGCATCTTGAGGAACTACACAAATATTTTTACGTATCTCACTAGTAAATCAAGAAATAAGCTATTTGTATATCAGGATCAATCACGTAGGTATTCAGAAAGTTGTCTGAAATTACATTTCATATAGTAACAGTTTCTATCCGTATAGTCATATTTATTTCATTCCGTCGTCAGAGATTTGCTTTCCGCACCCGAATCTCTGTCTTCAAAGTAGGAGTCGCCTCCAGTAATACATCGAAATGGAAATGTGTTACTCACATTTCCAGGTCAGCTTTGTTTTCCATCTTAGTACTTCAGCGGCGTCATTGCATCCAACCACTTCAGTCATTTCATGTAAGGGTCAGTACACATCAGTTCTAAACTGTCATCGTATATTTAGTATTAATGAAGTGTATACATGATATATGCTAATAGTTAGTCAAATCATGCAGGGGACATTTTATAACTCCACTCATTGATAGCATGTTAGACTTCTATAAAATAGCTACAAATTCACAAATATCCTTGCTACTGGATTTCACGATTTAATATACTAATGAATATATCGGGTAGTTTAAGACGTTATCAGGCCTTATCACGCAATCATCCAGTGTACAGGCAGTTACAATTTCTTTCCTAGAGTAAGATGAGCACAACCATAAGAAGCAGTAGATAATTTAGTTTATTATTTTAACTTCCTCCCACCGTTACAAATTAATTTAGTGTTAATTTTTAAGAGTATTCAGCAGCACATAAAAGTTGAGATGATTCTTTATTATGAATCAAAAACAAAACCGATTAGATATGAGTAATTCAGTATCATCTAATTTCACCGAAGTATATTAAAATTCAGTATGTTGAACTATATTTCAAGTGTCAGCTTTAAAATGATAGGAATCAGTAATCAAGTAGCAGTACTAGAAATCAAAGTGTCCCAGGCTTTTCTAGATCTCATAACTTAGAGAATAATTGCTGTAAATTTCCCTTTACACATTATTAACCAATAAGACTACAGCGTGCAGTACAATCCTATTCGTTCATTTGCTTTTCTCCCGACATAAAAACTGCTAAAGGGAGAAAAAAATAGCGTTTTGTGTATAAATAAAAATTAATCACTGCATATTACTGTCTTTTAAGTTTTCGCACATTGTTTATTTTCGTAGATATGTAAACTGGGTCGGCATTAAAGTGGGACTGATAATAAAGGATAAAACACCGAGAAATAAATAAAAACATTTAAACAGAAGTGTTAATATTAGCATGGTATATAGTTAGTTGAGATGATATAATGCTATATAAAGGGTGTTATATCCAGACTACTATTCATTAATTTTGAATCAGTTTTGTTAGTAGTATCCTCCGTTAATTCTTTGAGTTGTTTCTGGCCTAAGTATAAAGAAAATAGTCTAATTAAAGGCTCGTAATTTGAACGTAGTACTATTGCATGTGGAGTTTCTTTACGATTATTTTCAATCTTCATATTTCCACCACATCTGTATAAGTGAAACGAAAATAAATTAAGTTGAAGTATTAATACAACTAGAGGTCACAATTAAATCTCTATGCTTTTTTAAAACTAAAAACGAAACAGCCACTTTATATAAGTGAGTTTATTTCAAAGAAGTATTCCCCCTTTATAACCAGTAAGTGTCTTTTAGTTATAACTTTATTAGCTGATAAAAGAACTCAAGTGTTAAGTAAAGAGATTCAATGACAGATTCTTTGCACAAACTTTCAAAGCTACAGAGAAAGTCAGGAAATATAGTGTTTCTAGTGCATCAGTTTTTACAATATCGACGCGATATCAATGAGACTGAGAAAAATAAAGCTTAGATAAACTTATTCGTCGTCGGAGTTGATAATGTGGCAGTAGGGTCACAATTATTCGTATGATTGCATGGAGGATTTCACCATGAGCTGACATCAGTTAGGGAACCACTGGAAAACCTGCGGCAGTTCAAGTCGCCACACTCCATGTAGCACACAAAGCAAGAGAAGAAAGTACAAGAAAAGCACAATAGAGACCGTAAGCAGAGGTGTGAGACAAAAGAAATAGTAGTAACGAAGAACAAAACAGTTTCACTGGAAATCATAAATCACAAGAAGTGGATGCATCTGCGCCACTGAGAACGATTTTGAACCATGTCACCAATTTTTTCCAACCATTGGTTATACCGTCCCGAGGAGCCCAACGAGAAGGCTACACCTTTCTACGTGACTGGCTTAAACCAACTGTTGTGGATTTCATTGACTGATGTCGTGTTTTGGTGTGACCACCACTAGCTCTTCTCCAACCTGATCCATCCTATGTCACCTAAGATCGCCCGTCGAGGAAGGCGATGACTAGGAATACGTAACACATGTCCTAACCACCTCAGTCGATGTAACTTCACAACCTCGTCGATTGACTTCCCCTCCTTACCTAGCACTCGACACCTAACCTCAATATTGCTCAACTTATTACGCCACTTCGCAGGCGAGATAGAGCGCAGACACATATGATCAGAGACAGCTAATCTTTTCATGTCTTCCACTCTCAGTGGCCAGGTCTCACAACCATAAAGGAAGACGAAGCGGACTGATGAGCAGTACACCCGCCCTTTGGTCGATTGTCGGATATTTCGTCTACGCCAGAGACGGCGTAAGCTGGCAAATGCGAAACGAGCCCCTGCATCCGTGCTGAGATTTCGTCAGAGATCAACCCGTTGGCATTGGCTGATGGTACTTCCCAAATAAATGAAGCGGTCAATGTGCTCTACCACTTCACTTCCTACTTTTAATCTAGGAGTCGGTGTAGTCCAGTCCTGTAACATCATCTTACATTTCAGTAGGAGCGAATCGCATGCCAAACATTCGTAGATTGCAGCTCAAGGTGTTTAGAAGACTCTGCATTTTGTCAGCGTCCTCGCCTAGGACTATATCGTCTGCATATTCTAAGTCAACGAGATGAGTCCCTGGTAGCAAGTCAATCCCTGAATCGCTGAAGTGAGTTAGGGTTAAGTCCATTAGTACATCTATGATCAAGTTAAATAGAAATGGGGATAATGGGCACCACTAGTCGTCACCAGTTCAGATGACAACTCGCCGTAAGCCCTCACCTAGCTGTATGAGTACGAGTAGAGTGAGTGGCATGATCAGTGCAACGTATTTTCTCGGCATTCCCTTTACAGCCAAGCATCTCCAGAGAACCTCTCGGTCGACAGAATCGAATGCTGCCTTTAGGTCAAGGAATATAATGATTGTTGGGCGCCGGTAGGAATGCCTATGTTCTAGAATCTGTCGAAGGGTGAAGATATGATCAATACACCCTCTTCCTGGTCTAAAGCCTGCCTGGCTGGCTCTCTCGTGTTTGTGCCTCTCGAGCACCACTTAGTCTACGCGTGATTATTGAGCCTAAGACTTTAGATACTATATTAGTCAAGCTAATCCCTCTGTGATTATCACAGGAAGACTTGTCTCCCTTCTTGTATATGGGGATAATCAGTGACTTACACCAACCCGATGGGACTTCTTCTGATTCCCAGACGCTGCCTAGAACCTCAGTTAATGCAGACAGTAAGCTGTCTCCACCGTACTTAAATACCTCTGGAGTCATTTCATCAGGTCCCGCTGCTTTGCCTAGTTTCAGATTGGTGACAGCTTTAGTAACCTCAGTTAGGGAAGGAGGACCTGTGACTATATCCCATTCAGGGAGGTTGAGCGTGGCTGTGGGCCGATTAAACTGCTCCTCATAATGCTCTTTCCAGCGATCCAGTCGTCTATCCTGGGAATTAATTATGGTGCCATTTTTCTCCGAGATTGTTTCACTTACGATTTGTCTTCTCCCACCCGTTTCCCTGATGAGTCTAAAGAGTTGCCTATCGCCGAAGCTTTCTCCATCTCTTTGGCTTTTGTCAGCCACCACTGTTCACGGTCCTTGCGGAGACTTTTCGTAAGTTTTCTTTTGTGCAGCTTTCGCTCCTCATTGAATTCGGAGCTCGCCGGAATAAGTCTTCTAGCATCTATCAGTTCGGATGAGGCGGTGGAGATCCAGTGGTTTTTACTCACCTTTGGGTTTACCTTATTCACAGCTTTTACAGCTGTATCTATGGCTGCCTGGATATTCTTCCAAGCTTCTTCAGGGTGAGCACAGCTGTCGAACACAGATATGTGTTTAGCTAGTTCTTCCTCAAATACGGATTTAGTTTCCTGATCGAGCTGGGGACGTGATGGTTTTACCGCCAGCTGTTTCCTACGTCCGTTCAGTCGTAAGCACACACGAGCGCGGACCAGTGCGTGATCGGTATCTACACACGTGTTCCAGAAGGAGCGACAATCTCCTACCGACCCACGCCAACGATAGCTTATTGCTATGTGGTCTATTTGTGTCCAGCGTTGGTTTGATGAAGGGGGTCTCCAAGTCAAACAGTGTCTCTCCTTGTGTTTGAAGTTAGTGCTTACAAGAAACAAATGATTATCTGAACAGAACTGTAGGAGACGGTCACCGTTGTCGGTTCGCTGGCACGGGACTCCATAGGTGCCACCGACATCCTTCTCAGATTGACACAATTTCCCTACTTGAGCGTTAAAGTCACCAGCTAGAACGACTATATCTGAGCGTTTAGCCTTTCGCACCAAACTAGACAGCTTTTGGTAGAACTCATCCTTCGTTTCATCTGAACTGCAGTCAGTGAGGGCGGAGATTACGAAAAGGCATCGGCGAGTAGTGCAGTCCTTTCTCTTTTTTACTGATCCGTTCAGACGGACAGCACACATTCGGCTATCTACCGGGATCCAGTCAAGCAATGTCTTTTCTGCCCTAGTACTCAAAGCTATCCCTACGCCAGCTAATCCTCGTGAACTAGCTGTGGCATCTCCTGACACCCTCAAGGTGAATTTTGCAGATTCAACCTGTTGGCCAGGTGGGGTTAGGTGAATAACCACACTTGGGTCTTGTATGCGTGTTTCTGAAACACAACATACATCAATGGCTTGGGATGCCAGGGTCTTGGCTAGTGATGCTTGTTGTCCTATTTGGCAAAGTGTCCTAACATTAAATGCTCCTATATGAAATTGGTGGCGTGGCTTTAGGAGGCTGTCGGTGGTGGTTTTTTGGCTTCCATCGTTTTTAGTGGACACAGAGTGGAGAGGAAGTGGAGAGCTATCAAGTCGAGGAGTTGCATCAGTGGAAGGAAGGCAAGATGATAGAGATGAAGACAAAGATGAGTGAGTATTAGAGAGGTTTCGTGTGCATTTCGGATTGTGAGGGCGATTGTTACTTCCCGGCTGCCCACACCGTGGAAGTTGGTTGCGTGACCGCAGAGCCCAGGGGACAACTGCTTGAGGCCGGTCACACGCGGCCTGTTTTTGTTCGTTCTTTTTGTTTGGTGTGTCTCAGTAGCATATTTATCACTCCTGCCCTGTGACACGGCAGCAGGAAGCGCGGTCGTTGTTAATCCGGGCCACGGCCGATCCGGCATGAAATTTTGTGATTTTGTATTGATCATGATGTTGGATTGGGTAGCTGCTTTTTGTTTAACCGCTATCCAAACAACCTTTCTGGCATGGTAGGACCTCAAGAGACATAAATCTCAGCCAGTATAGCTTGTTGGGACATTGGGGTGTTCAAGCCCGACTACCACGTCAAGGTAGCAGCTTTCGGTCGGGATGCCCACTATCACCATTTCTATTCAATTTCATCATAGATGTACTAATGGAATGATCAGAATGTCCGAAATGTGTTGAGCCAATACATTACACGTTTCAGATAAACTACATCTTCTTATTGTTTTGTCGATATTCATAAAGGGGTCGGGTGCAGCATAGAATAGTTATCCCTCAATTTTCCTCCTCTCATAGTAACACTTTTGGAACAATATTTTAGCATGATTGTGATAAAATTCTGTGCATAGCATAACTATCCTGAGGTATTCTCATCATTTTAGTTGGATGAACTGAAAATACGACATTTGATGAAGAGTCTAGGAACACATGCATCCAGTACAGACATATATGTAAGACGAATTGGAAAATACAAATGAACGCAGACTGATTAGTTTATTTGATGAAAGTAAAGACAGAATAATATTTAGTTATGAACTTGCCTTAATAACTCCTTGGCTAATTCTAATCCATCCATTCCACGGAGTACAGCTTCATGTAATGGTGTGTTTCCCAAACTGAAGATATAAAGGTAGTGAAATAAATTTTTGCGAAATAAAGGTACAGTAAACTTAAGTCGAGCATTATTCAGTTAAGATTATACAATTACTTTATTTTTCACAGTCATTTGATCCTAAAACACAAGTAAAAATGGATGTAGATATTTACACTGTAAGATTTGGATCACAAACCATTTTTTGTAGATGTTTCACCGAAATGTTACTACTAATCTTCAACGGAATCGCATGACAAATGATGTATTCTAAATGATGTAAGCCATTCTGATGACTCATGAAATACATCGACAACGCAAAATCATAATTCAATTGTGGAAGAAAGCTCTCGTGCTTTGATTTGGTTTACATCGTCGATCTTCAATAAAAAGTTTGGTAGTTTGACATGTACCGTATTACACTAATTTAAGTCAGACACTATACATTAAAAAAAACGATCTGAATAACTTTTTCAATACTACTATTTCAGTATTCTAGTTATGTTCGCATAGTTGTGTTTTTGCGACGTTTTTCACCCGGTTTATTAAGGAAGAACAATATTCAACGCTTTCCATGTCTGTATTTAATGGTGAAAGTTAAACACTAGTGGATAGTCAGTTGGCATGCAGTGCAGTTGTATGGTCTCAGCGTCCTAACCGAAACATATCGATCAAGTATCCAATGTGGTCAGGGCCTCCTGCTGATGGAAACATCCTCGAATCTACCGATGTTAATTTCCGAGTAATTAAAAACTGCTTTGCTTCGAAAAATACCTCCCCTGATGTATTACCTTGATCAGCATTGCGATTCGTATATTAAAAGATCTTTGGAACAGTTTTAAATTTATTATATTGGGCCATAGGATTATTTATCAAGTGTTGGTTTAAAGGTATTTGTCTGGTTACAGCTCTGATTACAAGTTGACATCGATTAGAGAACCGTTGGGAAACCTGGGATGGTTTGTAAGTAAAACAATGACAGAAACTGTTAGTGTTACTATAGATAAGGTCTGAAATATTTTCCAACAGTAATTTAATCGATAGTAATTTAGAGTGTCTCTTCAAACACGAAAGTTCACTGGGTAGGGTTGAATTAAAGTAAGTTAATTGAGAATCCACCGCTATTATGTAACTTTTTAACCTGAAATATCGAGTTTTCTATAATAGCAAATAACTCAAACAAAATGATGAAATCCTCCATGCAATCAAACAAAATACCTACAAAATCAATACTTGAAAAAAATTGAGCCAAGAATATCCTTTTCGATAATTTCCTCTTCTGGCTCTACAATTATATATAGGTTTAAATACTTAGAATATTCCAGAATAGTCGTCAATAACAATATCGATGCGTTTTTAAATAATATCCATTTGTTAAGTAAGATAAATGGAATTACAGTTCACTAAAGATGTCTACACTAAAATAAGCATACAAATATAATAGCAAATAGAATATCAAATAAAATTAAAGAACTTTCCACAGCCAGTTAAGGATCATTACAACCTTGATGGCCAAGGTAAGAGTAGAGTCTGAACGATCTTCTTTTGGACACACGAGTTAGTTTTCTTAATGTGGATCCCAGTGGCCTCAGCAGTATGCAGTAGACAAACTCTTAAGGTGAACTTAAGGTAAGTTGGTAAGTGGAAAATGACTTTGGAAGCCTCTTTAACATCAATCTTGTGTTCTGTGTCCACAAGATGAGATAGAATAGCGCTGTGAATAGGTTTTGTCTGTCCTTTACTTAACGACGAAGGGTGATGTTCGGAAATCCGATGAGAAATACGCCTAATTGTACGGCCTATGTAAGTCGAAATTTAATTTGCCTCATATAAGATTATCTTGGATACACTTGTTTATCAAAATACAATCATATCTAAATCTATTATAAAAGCTAGGAATATAAGACTTTCAATGTGACCCAGTGGGGAAATAGTAAGATATTAAGGAAGCTCATCACCCTATTGTACCACAATATTATATAGTTGTAAACAGTTAGCGGCTCTATATATTGATGAAAAGGTTGAATTAGATATAAAGTGAATTGACTAACTTACGATGTTCCAGGAATATTGATTTGTGCACCATTTTCATGTAATACAGATATCGCTTGAACATGACCGTGACGCACAGCACATATCAATGGAGTTTCTTTGGCACCATTTACACAGTTGGGGTTGGCACCCTATTATTGAATAGAAAACTAATGATAAGATAGATTTTTATTACTTCATAGAACTAAATGCTAAATAAAGCAGTTCCGCCAATTAAATTATACAAATGAAGTGGGCTACAATTCAAATATACAATAATTTGTGTTTATCAAAATCTCTGTAAATAATAATAATCATCACTATACATTTTGACTCGGGGCTCAAATTATTTTTAGGAAATTCGTAATGTCTGTAGTCTGGATACTTATTATCTTAATAACTGTCATTATCATAACTAACCAGAGAGTTAAATCAGAAGGAAATCGATCACTATTGTGTGATTTGAAGGGTTGTTAACTTTGGAATTATCGTTTTGTTATCAAGCAATTCAAATAGTTACCAGTGTGCATGACTATATTGTTGATTGCTTGATTGTACTTTCGTTTTCTTCAGATTTAAACAGAACAGATACAGCTTGCTTTCTATATTGCTTGCTACATATATATATATATATATATATATATATATAAGGCGAATCCTTAACAATGATGACATAAGAGTGTATTTTTGTGCAACGGACGACTTACGCTCTTGACTGGTGTAGCTTAAAGATAAAATATAAGGCAACCAACAGAATTGTGTGTACCAGATAAATTTTGCAATTGTAGGATGAGCTTTCAAACAGGTTAGTATAAGAGTGTAGGAGCACAAACAATGTCTAAAGGTGGTTCCAAAGACCTCTGTAGACTTGAAGGAAAACAGATCGGCGATTGCGCTGCATTCGAAAAAGACGGGACCGGCTTTGATAGGACTAAGGTTCTGAACAAAGTTTTAGGTTCGTATAAAGAAAGACTGACTGCAGAAGCCCTACAAATATGAGTGAATCCCAAAAGTTTTAACAGACGTGGGTGTAAGTTGATGCACAGCAAATCCTGATTAATAAATAGAAATGGATATGTATCACCGATCAGTCATACTTGATCTAAATTCGCGATTGCTTATATCTTCTTATGGAGAGGCTAACAAATGATCTACAATTGTTTACATATACACACATGGACACACCATTGTATACCATACATACATATATATTTTCCATATTCAGTTATCTACGACCATGAGCTTTAGCTGAACGTAATCACTAAAATTCTGATGAAAAGTACACTGTTTAAAGTGTCAAACAAAAGCAGACTAATATTTGTAAGTCTGAGGTCAAATTCTAACCACATTTCATGCAACATTTTTGTTTATTTCATTTTGATGCCTGTTTCATGACTCATATGACTGAATAAAGTTTTTAACAACAAGAGATATCCTTTTTATATATAAACCTTTGTCATTATAATTTCGATTAATCTGCCTGAAGAAGTTCAGACCAGTTTGCCGAATGAAACGTTGGAATAACTTATTTCAATTTCGCCGCGATTTTACATATATAATTTTTCCATATGTCATTATATATAGAGCTAAATAATTTGCGTACATTAAACTTTGGTAAAGGAAAGATGACAAGAGTACTTCTTTTAAAATTCTTTGTTTAGTGCGAAAATCAAAGAGCAGTTACTTTGAATAAGCTTAAAAAATGGGAATAATAATCCAGTGAGACATAATGTATTAGTTTCATTAGACTACCAATAGTAAGGATGACTTTTCACCATCTGAAAAAGAAAGTGCAAGAATATCCTGGTCTCAACATAGAACTTTGTATTGATGTGCAGCAGTTCGAGTTGCCATATTTCACTCAGCACACTTCGCTAAATAAGATTATCCAGATAAACGTCTTAAGGCTTTTAAAACAAGCTCAACGGCATCGTTTTATTTCCTACTTCACAGTCAAAGCTGCATAATTTGCACATCTTTGTTTAATATCTATTTGATGTACTTGTTTCTCTAGAAAACAATGAAACCATGTAACCGAGTTATAAATAGTTACATGACACTTCAATCAAAACAAGTGAATGAAATGAAGTGATGCAGTTATTTCCACATTCTTAAGTTATGAATTTCAAAAATTAAATGTTGCTGGTGAAGTACTTACTTCCTTAAGAAGGCGTTTCACTTCATGTATATCTACATTCGTTTGACTTAGTGTATATAGCAAATTAATATCTGAAGTCTGTCAAAAAGAAAAATACAAAACTGAAGAGAAAAACAGTATTTTTAGGAAAAATAGACAAATATTTCTCAAAGACATCAATTCTGTAAACCTCTGAGGATTCCTGCCACATAGCCTTCATAAAACAGGCACCAACCATTATATAATGCAGAAATTGATATGATGACTTGGTTTATCCCTCAGTTATTTTCCACTCTAACATTGCTGATCTAAAATGATACTTATTCTAGCGACTATGCTTGATATATACTAGATATGATATATACTAGAGGTGAACTGCATGCCAGACAACTAGGTGTTTGCTAAAGATGATCAAAACACCCTATGGTCCTTTCATATCTACTTGAGGCAGCCAAATATTAGTTATAGAGTAGGATAATAATGACAAAGAATCAGCAGTCCGTCTACTATAGCTGATGCGAATTTGTAAATAAGGGAGGCGGTCAATGCTTTCAACCACTCCTCTTCCTTTATATAGTACCATCTTATATTTCAAAGGGGTGTAGCATATATCAAGAATATTCAAATTCTTAATTCCAGTATGCAGGAAAATAACTGTTGTTTGGAACATGATCCAATGTGACTAAGTGATTTACATACACTAAGTCCATCAGCTCTGTTCTCAGCGTAATTCGATTCCTAATAATTCACAATCGAAAAAGCTATAAGCCTGTGCGTTGGTGGCACAGTGGTTAGGACTCTTACCGACCATGCACATGGTCCGGGGTTCGAGCCCACGCCGGCGCACACCTGATATCTATGGTCGGCCTGCAAAATTTGGGCTACCGATATCCATGCTGAAAATTCCATACTTGTACCAAAAATACAGTGTGGAATCAAGCTGTAAATAAAAAAAAATAGGTCTATGGTAACGTTAAGTAAGAACCAGTATATTGTACATCTCTGATTGTTATTATTACAAATGACAACTTTCCATAAGCCCTTAGGGACTGCATATTTTGGAGTAGAAAACACTGATCATTAAAACACTTTATTCACAACTACATATTACAGGTTCCACATGAAAAACATTATTAATATGGGATGCTGGTATCTAGTGTTCGAGCACTTTTCAAGGGATGCCAGAGCTTTGACGACACACTTGCCCAAAGCTGAAAATCTGGGTTTCACTAGGCTTATTATACACCGGTTCTAATCGGCTATCGAATAACAATGGGTCACAAGACTCTATATACTAATCCCAACGGTACTATCACAAAAGCATTTCTAAACCTATTTTTAAAATAAGGTGATCAACAGTGTGCACTACTTTATTGAAACTAACTTGGATGCCCATATTCTAGCTAGTTTTGCAATTGGTCTAGTCGATAATTCCTTAACACCATTCTTAAGCAATTTCAAAATTGCAAACGTCGGCTACAGTCACACGACAGACACATTTCTATTTGCAACGTTTCAGTAGCTTGAAAATTCCCATTCAGTCATAGAAAAGAAATTTCTATTTGATTACAGCTTGATTTCACACAGTATTTTTGGTACAAGTATGGAATTTTCAGCATGGATATCGGTAGCCCAAATTGTGCAGGCTGACCATGGATATCAGGTGTGCGTCGGCAGGGTATCGAACCTCGGACCATGTGCATGGTCGGCGAGAGTCCTAACCACTGTGCCACCACACATGTCAAGACTAAAAGATAAGCAGCTGATTTGCAGCTACGAAGTCGTCCAGTTTATACTAGTCTTCTGTTGCCAAATTACCTATAATACTGTACTGTACAGAAAAATACTTAGTGATAGAGTAGATAACAACAGTCAATTGGCACGAAAGAATAGTGCAACTGCAAAAAAAGAACACACAACCTACTGATAGCTTAGAATTTCTTAGTAGAGCGACACCAGTTTCACCATACTGTGTGTGAGGATTCGGCCGTAATCCAGAATATTTGTGGTCTGGTTTCTTTTTTGTTGAATTGAGAGATTTAGTCGATTTCGTAACGTTTTTCGATTCGTCTTCCTCTGCTTCGGATGAACCAGTCTTACTTTTATTTTCATAGTCTATGATGAATTCAAATGAAATTAAAAAACTGATATGAAACAAACATTTCAAAGTGTACGTTGAGTCAAATTTAGACTAAATGTATATTCACCTAATTTGGAAAACTGAGGGTTAGCAATATATCAACTGTTATATCACGCGATTACTAAGCACAACAAAAAATCAATTAAGTGTTAGCTGGCACACCTCGCTAACCACGCACTAACAAAGACATAAAATTCAAGAGCATTCAATTTTCTTTCTATTATGGGAGATTACAAAGACTTCAACCAACTTGGATAAAAGCATGCGGAGTAGTTCATGCAGAAACTGACTGAAGTTTGTTCGTTAATAAAAAACTGAAGTTAACGAAAAAATTTCAAAATTTATTTAGAAAACAGAGACATGCAGACTGAGAAGTACTTTATTTATTAAGTTAATAAATGATATAAGAATTTAAAAGTCAAATGATATGGCGCTTGTAAATAATTGCACAGTACAATCTTTTGTTTTTCTTCCTTGGTGAAGTGAGGAACACATTAGCTTCTCTATTTTATCAGAAGGAAAGCAAGAAGCAAAAATGATATGTTAAAATAGGAACATTAACATAATACAATCAGGACTTCGACTTGGTTTTAACTGATATGAGGCAAGAAACAATAGATTTATATTTTGATCTGTTGGCACATCAGTAAGCAGCTTGGGCTACTTTGCGAAAGTTAGCATTTTTTTTCCAATGTTCAATATTCTAGATAGACAGATTTCCGCTAAACTATTTAGATAGTCCACCATTGTGCGTCGGTGGCACAGTGGTTAGGACTCTCGCCGACCATGCACATGGTCCGGGGTTCGAGCCCTCGCCAACGCACACCTGATATCTATGGTCGGCCTGCAAAATTTGGGCTACCGATATCCATGCTGAAAATTCCATACTTGTACCAAAAATACAGTGTGGAATCAAGCTGTAATCAAAAACAAAACAAAAACAAATGTACTTTATCGCCCAGTAAGCATACAACCATCTAATCCAGTTTCCTTCATTATAAGAATTACCATTATTGCATTGTACTTCCAGTCGATGAACCCAAATTTGAAAATAAACGAGGTAGAATGTAGTTGGAAAAGAATGTAAAATAATCGAATACCGTAAAGTGTTTTGTGAGGAAAGGTAGATCATAAAACATAGTGTTGAAATTAAGACGAAGATAAGACAAGTGTATCACCATCAGTGTAATCAATTCTCAGCTACATCACTGAAAAACCTACATTTACCTATAAAATTTCCACGACAAAGTTCACTCCTTTCACATTGCTCACGTTATTTTTTCATCGCACAAGGGCAATACAGCGATGGCAGAATATTTACAGACGTACTAAATATACATCCAAACAATGTGCATATGACTGGGCTATTACGAAGAGTGCATTACTGAAGCCACTTACACTGTGAGCGGAGTAGTTACCATTTTTTTGAAATCTAGTTTCACTATCCTATAATTTTCCAGATACAGTTGGTTCGATCAGCTGAGGGGATGTTTAATTTATTCCACTGGGGCCCCTTTCCCATCCTTCTTTTAATGTCGAAGTTTGTTACTAGATAGAAACAGGTCATTATTCAAGCGAAGTTGAAGCAAATGACCATCATTACCAGTTCTCGTGGCCGACACCAAGGGACCAACTAGCTTTTTTACTTGTGCATTAAAACTTTCCCCACACAATGAAAGTAAATGAATGTTTCGGAACTCACCCTTTATATCATTTGACTAACAGTGTCAATAAATTGGTAGACAGAGACCACAAGAAGATATTGATATATGTGTCACTATTCTACCTAAACCTATGAGGGCTAATTTATTGTATCACCCACAAGTGATTATCAGTTGAGATTCAACCCAGCTGTGCAATTCTCTCAGTAGAACCCGACACCACGCATGCACATGCAAGATGGTTATCGCACATGAAATACGTAGTTTTAATACTATGGCAAGGTTTCAATTTCATTATATATAATTTCATATTAAAATACAAAATTCAATAGACAGGTGAGTTTGTTTAGTTGGTATGGGTTTTCCGTACATACCTATTAACCTTACAACGTTTTGAAAGAAGAAAGTGCTAATGTTGGACACCTAATCCTATCCTTAATTTCCACGTTTACTCCTACTTCTTATACTGACAGGTACTCTCTCTCTCTCTCTCGCACAAGACATGGAAATCAAAGTACTAAAACCTATTCAGAATAATTATTATCGTAAAATCCAATCAATATTAGTGCTTACATTCGTGTGAAGATTTAGGAGGTATATGGTTTATATCAGTATTACCACGTTGAACAGGGCTTGAGCGCATCATTTCATATTGGTCATCTTTTACAGGACACGGTGCAGGAGACTGTCTAGCAGTCAACTGTTGTTCATAAGTATTCTCCTGACGATTAAGATTTTTAAAACTATCTAAATTTTGTTTCGATTGATTTGGATACTTCATTGAGTGCGACAATTTACCATCATTGTAATCTGAATCCACAGACACCTTGTTGGAAATTATTTGATTACCTGTTCCAGATGTAACAGTCTTCTTATCACTTGGTAATGTGTATGTCAAAGTGATTTTTGCTTGATTTGATGCCTCACATAAATCAGCTGACAAAAGCTACAAAATTCAAAGAATAATGAGATAGGTAGGAAATTAAGAAAGATCATAATTTTTAAATGCAACTGTTAACTGATCAGATGGTACGAAAACCTGTTCCTAAAAGTTAATAATGGACATTTTTCGCACACAGTTAATTCTAAAAGATCGGAGTTGCGTGTTGAAGTTCATATTCTCAGTATACGAATTGAAACCATTTAAGTCGGAGAAGGCCTTCGACAGCGTTGACCGTGAAGTAATTTGGAAATTACTCGAGTACTACGGCGTACCCCAAATATTCATCCACCTTATTCAACAGCTGTACGACAACGGCACATGTCAAGTGATCCACAACGGAAGACTCAGCGAGGCGTTTGGAATAAACCCAGGAGTCAGACAAGGGTGCTTATTATCTATCACCAATGATATTCCTAATTATGGTGATCTGGATTATGCGTCAGACAGTGGGAAACGAGCAGTCAGGGATATCCTGGACCGACGTGAAGAACATAGAAGACCTGGATTTCGCGGATCATTTATGTTTGATGTCACACAAAATCGAAGACTTACAAGTGAAAACCGACAAACTGGTCGAAGAAGCAGCCGGTGAAGATAGGACTCCAGGTGAACATAGACAAGACGGAGGTTATGAAAATAACCAACCAACAACAACAACAACATCCAGCGTCAATCACCATCAACGGGAGGGATTTGAAAGAGGTTACTTCATTCACTTATCTAGGGAGCATTGTCTCAACTACAGCAGGAACAGACGAGGATGTAAAATCGAGAATCGGGAAGGCAAGAAACACATTCATCAGCCTGAAATCAATCTGGAAATCTTCGTCACTCAGCATCACCAACAAAATTCGGATTTTCAATACAAACGTCAAGTCAGTCAGTTCTTCTATACGGATCAGAAACTTGGCGGGCGAGTCACAAAGAATATTTCCAACAGCCTGTTGCAGACCTTTATCCACAACTGTCTTCGCACTATACTGAAGATCAGATGGCCGGAAAGAATCACCAACAAGAAGCTATGGGAACAAACAAAGCAAGAACCAATCGCCAACTAACAAATATGCAGAAGGTGGAGATGGATCGGACACTCGCTGAGGAGGCCACCAGGTGACATCGCGCGTGTAAAAATAGCAGAAGTCAGCCATGATGATAATGTTTAGAGGGCAGATCAAAAGCTTAGACAGCATAACAACAATACAAACACCAGAATATCATATTTCATTCCACTGAGAAGAAAGATTGAGATATTATTTATAAATAATGATGACTTGATTATTATTTCTCTAATAAGGTTGTGCTCACAAATGATAAAATTCTGGTTAGCTTTTAGAATTGTTTGCTGTTCCAATTTTGAATTCAATATCAGATCAATTTTATATGAACATATAACTAATCAAAGAAAAATTTCACATGATCCATTGACAAAACGTCAAAGAAGTCAATTTCCATGTGACCTGCATTTCACATGGTATTTTGATTACACACAGAAAACGTTTACAAAGAATGAAATTGATTTGCTTCCTGCATTAGAAAAGTTAACTTAGAGAAATATTCTAATGAACAAATCTGAAAAAAGCCAAGTTAGTTTACTGTACAGAAAAAGTATAGCAAGAAGATAGCCACATTCTGTTTAAATATTCCAATGAGTAGAAAGTAGCAAAATTTTATAGCACACAATTCAGAAACAGATAAAAATGCAAAATAAAAAAACTACTTCAAATATCTTGTTTTAACAGACACGTTTCACCGGCTGCGTAACCTTCAATTAACGTACCGAAGAGGTTTTCCACGGATTTTATTACCACCTGAATAGCTTATAAATTTACTATTCAATAAGTATTTGGTACTGAGTATATATGAGTCGTATTGCAATGTATATGAATAACCATTATAAAATTATTTACGATAATACTAGTGTGTTTAGAGGATAAAAAACTCTTCTAAATATTGCGCTGGATAAGACAAAGCTTAACATTTACAATTAGGAAGATGCGTATAGGGACCATTGCAGTATTTCACATACACAAAATTGAACCGACTACAAGATATGACATTTTAAAAATCACCAAAAGTTGAAGTTCAATAGAGGTTTTAATATAAAACCCCATTAACAATAATCAATACAAACTTCAGCAAACAGATTTATCGTTAATGGTTTACCACTTCCATGGGTGATAAATTATGCTTTAAGTGGGTGAGCTGATAAAATGTGTTCTTTTCAGTAGATAGAATAATAAAACACATTATTAAAATGATAATGTCCTTCTTCTATAGATATATATGAACTGTGTTATGTTGATCTACACTGCAGACTACAGACAGCTAAATCCTGGCTTCAAATAAGTCATGGTGTATAACAAAGTACAAACGCCTTCATAATACATAATTGTCACTTTGTTATTGGTTATTATCTTGCTAGAGAGTTTCACAAAGGCTGAGATAATTTGTACTATTCAGTCAACAACAAAAGCAGTAATCGAAATGAAATTTCTCACGGTAAACTATTTTAGAGTGGAAAACTTCTTTAAGAAATTTTTTTCTACCAGCTTAAAATATTACCAATATCTGCCCTCCACCAGTAAGTATGCCATTGGACCATTTCATATACTTCACTAAAAAGGGAGGGGTGCGAACTCTTCATTTTCATTACCATGTAAACTGAGAAAAAAATCATATGTAGCAAAAGAAAAGCGAAAGAATATCCATCAAAAGAGAGATAATGATATTTTATGATAGCTAAAAATGAACTTACTTTACCAAATCTTGGTTGTCCAATTGCAGCACGAAATTCTGAATTATTATTTGTATACAGCTTCAAGTGTGCGAAAATATGATCTAACTGTTTACGCCAAAATCCTGTTGAATTTCAAAATAGTGGGAGGTAATTCCTTATATGTTATAACAAATTATAATAGATAAATAATTATTTTTGAAAGTAACTACTCATGGTCACTGACTAATTTAATTTGAAGTGAGTGAAAATGTTCAGATTCAATACACAAAATTCTTTGAAATTATAAAATCTATAGGGGGAGTAAGGTGCTGAAGATTTTTTTCTCACTAGGTACAAATTAAAACCACCATTTGTGAGTTGGTTTTATAGCCAGTAATCCTTATTTAAATTTTATGCAGACATCTTCAAAAGGGGAATAATTGTTTTGCAGACATCGACATAACTAATATTTATGAATATAATGATGAAAAAATTAAACAGTGAGTAATGATCACTTTATACGATGGCAGATTAGGAATCTGGTTGTGAAACACTTCTAAGAAACAGCAAAACTACAGGATGATCGTCAGTGATTACGACACTGGTTCATATATTATAACACGTGAAGCCGTTGACTCACATGATTTACAGGACCTCTCTCAGGAAGCCATGATGCACAAGCAGATGCTAATTCAGAATAGCTATTATTTGACTCTAGTGTACTCACATCATAGGCTAACCACCTTTCAACTTTTTTCCAACCAGTGTAGGGGTTATCGGATAATTGGAGGTATAGAGGTCGCTGCATTAACGTCTATAACATACCTGCAAACCAGATGCCTCGAGATGAAATCATCAATTAAAAGACGATCCTAAGCCTGTCAACACATCAATGAATCTCAGAATGAGTTACATCGTGTCACCGTAGGAGACAACGTTGATCAATCATTTAGGTACGCAACTTATGTTGCATCACATACACAATGTAGTGTGATAGGTAAGACAGAATGCGAATGAAATAAATTTAAGTATAACCACAGTACTAAAGGAATCCAATCTCCTATTTAGGAAAGAATCACCAACAAGAAGCTATGGGAACAAACAAAGCAAGAACCAATCGCCAACTAACAAATATGCAGAAGGTGGAGATGGATCGGACATTCGCTGAGGAGACCACTGGGTGATATCGCGTGTCAAGCCCTCGAGTGGAATCCAAAAAGGAAGCGGCGAGTGGGACGTCCAAGGGTGACGTGGAGGAGATTGTGTGAAGAGGAGTTGAAAGAGTATGGACTAACATGAATGCAGGTGAAAAGTACAGCAAAAGACAGAATCAAATGGAGACGTGCAGTTGAAACCCTATTTTCCACTAGGAACCCAAAGGAGAAATAATAATAATAATTTGGGAAAGTGAAAGTTATCTGCTTAGGCTCCAAGGAAGCATTGGTGATCAGAGATCCTAAGTGATATGAATAAAAACAGATTACGCTTTTGTCTGTGCATTCAATTAGTATAAATAATCTATATTCTAAGCATTTATTTATTTGCTTTTTAAGAATATTTTTCCTCTATTCAATGACGATTATCTGCTTTTCTGACTAACTACTGGAAATGACACACTTGGGTTAAATATTGGTCTACTCACTTATTAGTTTATGTCACTTATTGCATTCAAAAACTCCTACCTAAGTTACGACTACTTAGGTCTGTTCTGAGAGATTAGAATGGATATCATTATTTAATTAAAAAGTTCATCAAAATTGTGCTTATTGAAGTACCCATAGCGGTACCATAAGTCTACTATAACAATATGAGTAGTGTATTCATAGTACATTTTCGAAGTATGTATATATACATATGTTAATCAAAGTAGAGCCTGAGGAAGATCTAAATGCAAACAACTATATTCCCTCAAATTTCCAGTTCTAATTGCATTTAACGATGATTAATTTCGAATGTTCAGTCTGTAGGTTTCTTTTATTAGTCATGTTGAACTGTTGATATTCGCTTTCAGATAAGTAATAATTATGTGGTAGCGGGAAGATAGAATTACACTTTTTATGTTGTTGCCACTGTATATCTACTTATGTTCTCTGCTTACTAACTAATGTATCTTGCTATCGTAGAAAAACACGTTAAACTTCAAAGTATAATAATATTTAGATAAAAAGCTGAATCTTAAGTATATCTAAAGTGAAATAAAAGTTATTTATGAGACGCACTACGAAATCATTCAGTCACCTTCCACTCTATTAACGAAGGCAATATCATTCACATACTAGTAGACTGCAGATTCAAATACAATGGTAGAAATAATATAGCGTTTATTCTAAACTTTATCACACTAAACAGAGTAGAAAGTTTACCTCTGCCTGGACTGACAGCAGTAAGAACAGGTGCTTTATCTCTTAACTGGGCATCTGCTGACAAGCGACTTTGAGTAAGGCGGGCTTGACGTCGTAAGTCAGTTGAACTAGGGTAAAACAGACCAACAGTTTGTGTAGAGACATTTGCAACAACAGTCTGTAAAGGTTTGTATTGTGAAAGAGATTTTTCAGACTGATTTCCATCAGATTCAAACTCATTGTAATCTATAGTTAAGAAAAAAACGAAAGAAATATACATCAAAAGTAAAATATCAATAAAGTCAACCAGATTCCCTCCATAATTAGCTTGTGATAAGTATTTCCTATATGAACAACAACTAAAGGTAATTGGCTAAGTTGAAGAGAGAATCATTTTTAATTTAGACTCTAAAATCAAGCAATTACCTTGCAATCATACTATCACTATATACATGAGGTCTTCATCTTCAAAAATTTAAAATTAATTGAAATGAAAATATGAGAATTACATAGAAAAGTCTCATGTAACACAGTTCTGTGAAATTTTGAGTCTGATGAATAAATATTTATACGCAAGCTTTAAACTAAAGGCCAAGTTTTTCCAACCACACCAATGAAATAAAATTCATCAACAAACTAATTTTCCACCACTTAAACTAAACTCACACCATACTAAATTTCTAGTCTTAAGATAACTCATTTTTAAAACCTCTGAGTTTTTAATATCAAGAGCAATTAGTTGAAGCTATTTACTTATTTTATCAACATCCTTTAGCACTAAATGATCAAAGATAATTATAATAGTACATAAGCTCAAACCAATTGAAAATTTAAACGTTTGAGAAAAACTGAGCATTCGGTATATGATGTTTATCACTGCAAAAATGTTTCTACTTTCAAACGATAACATATGAAAGGGAAAAAGAAGAAATATCAAATACTATCTAAGTTCTCAATAAACACAGTCACCCAAAGAATTTTATTCACAAAATCAGCAACAACAATAAATATAACCAACAACGTACTCCGAAGATGTGAATCCCTTTAGTCATTATTCCACATAGACCATCAGATGAGATCACAAGGGTACTTAACAAATGCAACACCAGTTTCTTTTCAAAACATGCAAAAAAGTAATCCTGTTCATAAGAAGGACTGTATCTATAAAATATATTGTTCAAAATGTGACACAATCTATGTCGGAGAAACCACTCGGGAAATCCAGGTCAAAAATAATGAACACCATAGAGCTTGTATTTAACCATCGAGAAATGCAATGGAATCAGAGAAGCTTGAAAAATCTTCCACTATAGGTCTATATGCTACAGAACCAAGTGATAAGACTGACTATAATAACACAGGCATTATTCAGGGAAATTCCTAAGTCAAAAAGAACGTCCCATATCAGAAGCACTTCAAACTAAATGGAATCTAAATTATTTTATTATAAATAATGGGTAAAGACAGAATTTGGCCAGAATCGAATAACTCAAGGATTGACAAAATCAACCCAAATGTTATAAGCATCTCCACTACGTAAACACATATCTGTTTTATAATTCATAAGCTTGTCGAACATAATTTGTTGGTGGTTTTTATCTTTACTAATTTATCCACCTGACAACTTAGAATTATCTCACAGTGAAGAACTGTGATTTATTAACTGTATATAAATCGAGAATTTGTAATTTCTGGTTTACTAATGCTTGGTAAAGCTCTTAAAATTTGAAATAGCAAAGCGTCAGTATAAGCAGTGCAGGTTTGTTTTTCATTTATTGGAAAACAAGTTTCTTTCATGATAATTAATAGAAGATTCATCAATTATAGGAATGGCATTACATCAACTTTAGAAATTACAAGAAACTTCACAATAAAAATATTTCACTATTCACAATACTTTGTTTACCATGTGATATATGCAAATTATTTCTACCTGTTTCGCTTCTTTAATACATGCGGTTTATTGCTGCAATTAAAATTAACCGCCAGTGGAGTACAAAAATTAACATTAAAATACTCAAAGTGATCTGCTTCGGATTTTTAGAAAACTCGAGGCAGCACTGAAAAAAGCCCTTCTTATATATTTATTTTAACATACTATTAATACTCTCAGTGTTTAATCAAATTATAATTTGTAGAAGGAAGGACTGTAACCTAATAGGCACATTTTATTGCTAGGGAACCTAAATACTGTTTTTGTTATTATTATAAAATACACGTACAACTGTTTCGTTTAGGCTTTTGAGCAAATGATACAGTTTAAGTTATCAATTGTTAAACAAATAAAAATGACACTAAGAAAACACTCACTGGATGTATGACTAGTTGAATACCATCCAGTACGTGGTGGAGGCAGTAAATTCAATCCACAATAAGAACAATAATTGGCTTCCTTAGGATTAGGTAAATCACATTTAATGCAATGTATGAAACCATAACGTACAGAGGTTTTATTATGATTATCGTAAAATGACCAATCATGATGAGCACCATTATTATCTGAAGACTTTAGTTCACTGTTCAAGGGATTTAAAGACTGCTTTGGTACCTCTATGCCACACCAATCACAGTAACGCGCATCAGGATTATTTTCACGATGACAGTAAACACAAAGAGAAAATCGTACAGATTTATTCATTACTGTATATTTGTTTTGTTGTTCTTTTAAACAAGGTACATGAGAGTCACAGAAAGATTGTCCTTTAGAGAGTACTACATTAGTAGCACCCATAGGTAATCGTACTTCACAGATTATACAACTTCGAGCATCAATAGGATTCATTGTTCCACATGTTGTACATAAACGACATTCTTCAGGATATTGACCATACTTCTGAAAAATGATTTCAAATGATATGCAGTAAGCTAAGCAAGGCAAACAGTTGTGACACGAAAGAATTATTCACGCATAAGTAAAATCATGTAATGCAATATAAAGAACGCAATCATTAAATAAGTGGGAAACAAAAATAACCCTATTCTGTAATGTGTCAAATTTTCTCATATAGCACACTGATTTAAGAATCTTTATTAGCTACACAATGTACTTTTCATATCATTGTATCAATGTAATTTTACGGCTACTTTCAGTTGTCATTCTGATTTTAAATTTTTAACTAAGTGACACTAATTTCCATATGTTTGGTGTACAGTCACTGCTATTGCACATTTACAGAGTTGACTCAATGAATAAAGATTCTGTAGCTAACCTGTAATGCCACTTAATATCCTATTACAGAAATTTTTTACAATACTCATATTAGAGGGTGAGAAACGACAACACTGCTAACATCTAAAATAACTGAGTAGAGACAGCTTATTATCGAATGCTTAAGGACATAATCAATGCAACGCTCATCAAATCTAAGGAAAGTAGTCCTAAAAAAGCAGCAAAATACAAAATAAGAAAAACCAAGTCATGAATTGATTTGAACACAGTTACAGAATAATATGCAGCTGTAATGTACTCGTCGCTAAATTATTGTTATGGTCCGGTCGAGAAACTAATAGTCCTGACGCAAGAAGGCGGAAATCAGAAGACCACTAGGTTTGCGATGATACTTCTATTTTCCAAACACAAGGAGAATGCAAAAGTGGTATCACACCAAAGTGGTAAGTGTAAGTCACAAGATTGTGAGAACGAAATATATATATATATGAATGTTCAGACAAAGGGGTGAACAATCATTAGACAGTCTTAACATGAATGGCTAATTATAATGAAGTATCGATCCATATATATACATAGCGAAATATAGCAGACATGTCAACAACCACCATATATGGATATATGTCACCAAGCGACGGACTGTCAACAAACACTCATATTATATATGATATAAGGGGAATATACATTGTTAAAGGAGACAGGTTCATACAAGTGAAATGGTCACAGACTAAGCGAGCAAACAGAAAGAGAGACCAACATACACATATATATATATATATATATATATATATATATATATATAAATGGATACATATCAGCAGCAAACTGTGATCACAAGGTCATGAGTAAATAACAACTTATGTGCTGTATTACATTAATAATCTATTATGGAATTACACTTCACAACGGTGTCCAGATTCCTTTATTATATCGATGAATATGTTACATTTTACTAGTTTCATAAGGTGCGCGTTAGGTATACCAGCACTTCCTCCATTACAAAACAAATAGACTTCACATGAAAATATTTAGGAATTTTTCCTGTTCTTGAAGAACTGAGTATTTACAATAATCAAAGATAAAAATGAACAAAATTAGGTTAAAGTAGTTTGATGAGGTACTCTATTCCTTGATATTTAGTGGTTCATATAAGGTTTCATACGGACCGGTTAAATAAATTTCTCAATGCTTAATTCATACGTATAAGACCAAAGTAATGATCTTACGTTAGCAATAAGACGTTACATTCGAAAACAACTTTTACACCATATGCTAATTTCACAAATGGTATTTATCAATGGTTAGGATGGTTTAGTTCAAATTACGAAACATGTTTTCGCTTCAACAAACACACTACTCACAAGTAACGCGATTCATTAGGAAAAAATTATAAACACTAACGGGTGCCAACGCACATTTTCTCAGGTAGGGAGAGAGGAGAGCTAAACAGTCCTCAAGAAAGCATAAGTGTTTTTGGTTTCTACTGGTAAGACTGATGGATTCCCATCATCACGAATCTTGGAGGAAGTGCAGTGCAGAAGCACACATTTTCAATTGATTAAAGCATTTCAGTAACCAGCGTCAGTACGTGAGATCAACTAAGAGGAAAACTTCATTTCCAAAAATAAATCATCTCATGAAAAAAAATATCACGGATGTTTCGAATCAGTAACTGTTCTTGTGTTTTTAGACCGGACTTATAAGCTTAGTTCATTTTAAGGAAATTAGCCTTAAAAGTGTCGGTGCTTGATACTTAATGACTGCTGATCTCTTACTTTTCATATTTAAATTCAAGACTAAGAGTGAATTCAGTCACTAAAATTCAAAAGAACTTTCCAAGTTAACATTCGTACTGATACAAAATTAGATATAATTACAAACACAAATTTTCGGTATTATATTTTTACGTTACCCAAGTATGTGTAGTTTTTAAATATTAGTCAAAATGACACATATGAAGAGTCAATACAATCACATTTAAAGGGAACTAAAATTCTAGTCTCTTTGTGTTAATATAACAAAAATATTCATCCAGACATCTATAAAACATAAAATGATCGAGCAAAGAATATTCGAAACATCAAGCAGTTTGTCATAAACAGCAATTCTTCATGTAACATAGTTAATTGCCTAATGTATTTATAAAATGGATAGACACTTCTTTCTACCTTCTGACTTGTACGTCTGATTTCATTTATAACTACAAATACGACTGATCAGGCGACACCATGCTCCTGTAGACCGCAATTTCGGTCACTGCTTGATTTGTACACACAATCTAAACAACAAGATGATCACTAGTAGCTTTATTTAGTGGATAGTGTCATAAAATAGTACACACTGATACTAAAGCCAAAGATCGATTAAAGCAGCTCATTCCAAAAATATAACGTTTGTACGAGAACGCCTTCATAGAGCAACTTATAATATGAAATCATTTCTAAGGCGGATTTCCAGTAATGATTGAATTTTATCTGTCTCGGTTACATCAGAATTGAAGACTGTCATTAACAATGTATTTCAGTTTAGAGATGAATTGCATCTTCAGTGTTCAAAAACAGAAGACAAATCAATAAGTTCAACAGGGTGTTTCAACTAAACTCCCATCCTAAACACCATAATTTTGAAAATACTTCTAATCATACAATTCTAGATACTAACAGTTTGAACAGATATGAAGGTTTGACGGTAGTTGATGCACAGCAAATCCTGATTAATAAATAGAAATGGATATGTATCACCGATCAGTCATACTTGATCTAAATTCGCGATTGCTTATATCTTCTTATGGAGAGGCTAACAAATGATCTACAATTGTTTACATATACACACATGGACACACCATTGTATACCATACATACATATATATTTTCCATATTCAGTTATCTACGACCATGAGCTTTAGCTGAACGTAATCACTAAAATTCTGATGAAAAGTACACTGTTTAAAGTGTCAAACAAAAGCAGACTAATATTTGTAAGTCTGAGGTCAAATTCTAACCACATTTCATGCAACATTTTTGTTTATTTCATTTTGATGCCTGTTTCATGACTCATATGACTGAATAAAGTTTTTAACAACAAGAGATATCCTTTTTATATATAAACCTTTGTCATTATAATTTCGATTAATCTGCCTGGAGAAGTTCAGACCAGTTTGCCGAATGAAACGTTGGAATAACTTATTTCAATTTCGCTGAGATTTTACAAATATAATTTTCACAAACATCTACTTCTCAATCGGCTAACAATTATTTTGGAACTAATCTGTCAAATTTTGATCACAGTTCATATGAACTAAAGTCAAAGTTCCTAGATTACGGAAGAATAAAAAAGAATGATTGGACCTAGGATGTGATCAGGTATTTCACAAATAGGTCATTTTTACGCCTGAACGATATGATAATTATAGAATACCAGGCAAGCTTAGAAAAGCGATTACGGAACAATGCCATAAGACACTAAAAGCTAATTTTCTTTAACTTCCTACGCAAATTTAAGTCCATGATTACTATGCATAAACCAGAAGCTTAGTTATATGGATCCTATTGTTACAGTCTATTCGGTCGTTGCTCTAGGAACTTCATGCTCGGGAACAGCTACCAGTTCGGCTAAATAAAGGTTAATGAAAGCTGTAAACAGCTGAATATCAGACCAACTTGTCCTTCTCCATCATCCATCAGGTACCACATAAATTACCAAAAGCATCAAGGTACCAAATATTCCAAACAGCAGAGGCTATTGCGATTTGCCTATAACGGCCGGTACTCTGTGTGCAGAAGAAACACGTCTAGCCACTATTACTGCTCTGGCCACCTGTGGAGCCTATAAGTTCATGAATTCTGTATTGTTAACTTCCCTGATTCGCATGATATTTAGTTTTATGTTGATGCATATGATCACCCTTACAGATGCTACTGAACTGTAATCTATTGATATCATTGTTTCGAGGTTATTTAAACATTAACAACCCTAATTCTTTCATTATTATGGATATGTTACTGGAGAATGTGATGAAGAAGTTATTTAAAAAAATATTCTTTATTAAGTATTCAGTCTTTTGACATACAGATTTGTTGCATATAATGTCTGCCGTGTTTTATTCCAATGAAGAACTGGAGGAAAGACAATTCACATACAGAGGGCATTCATACAAATAACTTCAGATATTCCAAAATCCCTCAACATTAAACAATATGGTTAAATGGGATTTCTGTTGGATAGAAGAAAAGGCACCGTTTTAATGTATAAACAAATTAATAAACAGATTGATATTTCAAAAATAAGTATGATACATACTTGTACTTGAGACCTTTGTAATGGAGCTTCACATACTAAACAGCTAGTCAAATTTAACGGCACGTGAGCTTTACAGTATGGGCAAACACCAATGTTCTCTAATGCGCACGAGCCATGCTTAGGTGACGACAGAATAGGTAAACCCAAACCGCAATGGAAACAAAAGTTCTGTTTCCGACTCACTGGCCTTTCATGATAACAGTTAGGGCATCTGAATAAATGAAGAGTATAATCAAATAATCTAGTGTAGCGAATGGTTTAATATTGTAAGAAAATCAGTGTTTACATGCGACAATTTTTAATGAAAGAATATGTGCATGAACGTTTTGGAAAAGGGAGCTTTATTAGCTAACAGAAAATAGCGAACAAATAAACAGAATTCAGCTAGAAAATAATATAAGCTGTACAGTTGTGAGAATGTGTTAAGGTAATAGGTGATAATTGAAGGTTAAACGAAAATCTTGGTGGCAGAGGAATTCTAAACAACGAACTATGGATTACTAGGTGAACTACGAAATCCACCTGCTAAAAATGTCACAATCACTAATTAAAAACTTGCTTTTCTCCTTCTAATTCAATATGCATAAGACTGAAAGGATATATAGCTGGCAGGTACTATAGTAGCAGGCAGACAGCTACCCACCATTCATTCATACCACAGATGGACATTACCTGTGGGGATTACAAAGAGGTGATGACGCGTGACTGCAGACTGGATGTAGGTGATTTAAAACTTATTTCCACAAAGATGTTCAACATACTTCTAATATTCCCATTTGAATCAACAGTGGTCTGCCACTCACACACTACCTCACCATCAAGTCACCGCTTGAACATGCAGTGGGAGTTTATTCGATTAAAGAACTGTTATGATGGAAGCAGACATACTGTGAGTCAGTACTTTCCAAGTGATCTGTACGACTGACTGATTGGTTTCAACATAGAACTTTGCACCAATGTGCAGCAGTTCAAGTCGCCACACTCCATGTAGCACAAAAATCAAGAGAAGAAAGCCAAAAGGAATGCAAAACAGAGATTTGAGACAAAAAGAAGAATAATATCGAAGAACCACACAGTTTTATTGGATATTATGAGTCACAAGGAGTGGATGCATCTGCACCATATCACCAATTGTCTTCAACGATTGGTGTTTACCGTCCCGAGGACCCCAACGAGAAGGCTACACCTTTCTACGTGACTGGCTTAAACCAACTGTTGTGGATTTCATTGACTGATGTCGTGTTTTGGTGTGACCACCACTAGCTCTTCTCCAACCTGATCCATCCTATGTCACCTAAGATCGCCCGTCGAGGAAGGCGATGGCTAGGCATACGTAAAACATGTCCTAACCATCTCAATCAATCTAACTTTACAGCCTCGTTGATTGATTCCCCCTCCCTACCTAGCATTCGACCAATGCCCAACCTCAATATTCCTCCCCCTATTATACCACCAAACATGGGGGATTGGACACAGACACTTATGATCAAAGACAGCTAACCAACCTTTTCATGTCCTCCACCTTCAATGGCCAGGTCTTACAGACATAAAGGAGGACGGAGCGGACTGCTGAGCAGCACACACACTCTTTGGTCGATAGCTGGATATCACGTCTACGCCAGAGATGGCGTAAACTGGCATGTGCGAAACGAGCCTTCTATATCCGTGCTGAGATTTCGTCAGTGATCAACCCGTTGGCATTGGGTGATGCAGCTTCCCAAATAAGTGAAGTGGTCAACACGCTCTATCACTTCACTCCCTATTTCTACGCTAGGAGTCAATGTAGTCCAGTCCTGTAGCATCATCTTACATTTGACAGCAGGAGCGAATCGCATGCCAAACACTACAGAAGATTGCTGCTTGACAAGGTGTTCAGAAGACCCTGTCTACATTTCTCAGCGTCCTTGCCTAGAAGGACTATATCATCTGCATATTCTAAGTCAACGAGCTTAATCCCTGCTGGTAAAATGTCAATCCGTGAGTCGCTGAAGTCAATTAGGGTTCATTCCATTAGTACATCTATGATGAAATTGAATAGAAATGGTGATAATGGGCATCTCTGACGGACACTGCTAGTTGTCATCACTTCAGATGACAACTAGTCGTAAGCTCTCACCTGGCTGACTGCATGAGTTCGGGTGGAGTGAGTGGCCTGATCAGTGCAATGTAATTCCCTAGCATTCTCTTCACGGCCAAACATCGCCAGAGTACCTCTCGGTCGACAGAATCGAATGCCACCTGCTGGTCAATTAAACTGCTTCTCAAAGTGTTCTTTCTAACGTTCTAGTCCTCTACCATATTAGTCAAGCTGATCCCCTTATGATTATCACAGCAAGATTTGTCTCTCCTTTTGTATATCGGGATAATCAATGATTGACACCAACCCGACGAGGCTTCCTCTGATTCCCATGCGCTGCCTAGTACTTTAGTTAAGGCAGAAAGCAAACTGCCTCCACCTTACTTAAATACCTTTGCCTCGTTTCAGACTAGTGTCAGCCTTAGTAACCTCAGTTAGGGACGGGGGACCTGTTGGTCAATTAAACTGCTTCTCAAAGTGTTCTTTCTAACGTTCTAGTCGTCTATCTTGATGCCATTCTTCTCAGAGATTGCTTCACTCATCATTTGCCTTTTACCACCTGTTTCCCAGAAAAGTATGAACAGTTGTCTGGTGTTACCAATCGCCGATGCCTTTTCCATCACCTTTGCTTTTGTCGCCCACCATCACGGCCGTTACGAAAGCTTCTTGTTAGTTTGCGTTTGAGTAGCTTTCGCCCCTCATCATAATCGAAGGTCATCGGAATCAGTCTTCTTGCGTCAATCAGTTGGGATGAGGTGGTAGAAATCCAATGGCTCTTACTAACTTTAGGTTTCAGCGTATTAACAGCTTTTACAACTGTGTCTACAGCTAACTGTATGTTGTGCCAGGCTACCTCAGGATACTCGTTTCGCTATTTCTTCTTTAATTAGGGACTCAGTGTCTCAATCTACTTGGGGACGTTAGTGTTTCGCTGCCAATGGTTTTTATATGTCCTTTCAGTCGTAATCATAAACATCCGCGAACCAGAGCGTGATCAGTCTACGCACGGGTTCCAAAACTATCAGCGGTCTTCTACTGACCCTCGCCAACGATACTCTATCGCCATGTGGTCTATCTGAGTCCAGCGTTGATTCGGTGATCGAGGTCACCAGGTTACGCAGTGTCTCCCTTTGTGCCGAAAGTTAGTGCTGAATAGGAACAGATGATAATCTAAACAGGACTGTAGAAGACGACCACCATTGTCGGTCCGTCGGCAGGGAACTCCATACGTACCACCTAGGTACTTCTCAGTCTGGCACAACTTCCCTACTTGGGCATTGAAGTCGCCTGCTAAAGCAACTATATCTGAACGTTTTGATTTTTGCAACAAATTAGACAGTTTCAGGTAGAAGTCATCGTTTAGTTCATCCGAACTGCAGTTGGTTGGGGCGTGAGCGGAGACTACTAAAAGGCAACGACGAGTAGCACCATCTTTCCTTCTTTTAACGGACCGCACACATACAACTATCTACTGGGATCCAGTCAAGGAGGGATTTTTCTGTCCCAACACTCAATGTTATCCCTACACCTGCGAGTCCTCGCTAGCTAGCTGAGGGGTCTCCTGAAACCCTAAAAGTGAATTTTGCAGATTCACCTTGTTGACCTGGTGAGGTTAAGTGAATGTTCACACTCGGGTCTTGTATGCGTGTCTCCGAAACCCAACATACATCCATGGCTCGAGATGCCGGATTTTTTGCTAGTGATGCATGTTGTCCGATTTGGCATAGGGTCCTGACGTTAAATGTTCCTATATGAAGTTGGCGACGTGGCTTTGAAAGGCTATCTGGGGTGTTTCTATGGCTCTCACCGTTGTTCGTGACCACAGAGTGAAGTGAAGATGACTCACTAGCTTGCAGAATAGTACTAACTGTAGTAGACAAGCCAGATGAGAAAGGTGATGTGAGTGAAGGGGAATGATGCTCGGGAAGGCTTTGTGTGCTTTTGGAAGTGTGTGGGCGGTTGTTACTTCCCGGCCGCCCACACCGTGGAAGTCGATTGATTCTTCTAGTACCTGAAACAGAAAGACAGTTAGTGGTGCGTGACTGCAGAGCCCAGGGCACAACTGTTCGAGGCCGGTCACACACGGCCTGTATGAGCTGCTTTCTTGGATCGGTTTAGTATTATTACCACCGGCTACGAACCACCGCAGGTCGGGATGTACAATTGTTGGGGTCAACCTTTTCTAACCGCCTCCATGCAGAGTGGAGAGATACCAGATATTAGACCCTAACATAAATTAAAAGCGGTCTCATTGTATTTTTATTGGTACATCCCAACCAGTCTAAACAGTTACCATATCGTAAACTAGTAATTTATTGGTCATGAGAAGCAACTACATAATTAGCTGTGATTTCTGGTGATATTGTGGCGAGTGATACTGATAATATTTGTCAGTAGTATATACAGAGACGTTCATCGGCATAAGAACATCAAATAGCAGGAAGATATATTTGGTGTCAGCGAAGGCAAATGATAAAGCGTTGTGTAGATACATGGCAGACGTGAAAGGAAGCCAAAAGTACCACAACACGAAGATCTGTGCAAATGGTGCGTTGAAGATAAGGTGCACATAATTTGTGTATATTGAGATACCAATTTACAATTACACATTTGAGTGTTGGTTTGTAGGGATTTGATTGGTTTCAGGATTTCATCATGAGCTGACATTACACATTTCTTTGCCAAATCTTTGTCTTCTACCGTTACAATATGGCCTTTTCTTGAAGGAATAAATTTCTTCTTTCTCAGTCGTTCTTCTGTGTCCTCCCAGTGTGTAAATAAGTAGCCGAGTATTCAGTCGCATATTGTCGGGCATTAAAATATCAACGAACGAGCTAAAATTTAGTAGTATCTCGGCCACAAGATTAGCAGAAGGTTTAGACAACAGCCCAGAGAACCGTGAGCGATAAGTCGGCCGCGTTACATGTTATCTGGGTTGTTATATTTAAACATAATGTTTCAGTTTTAAAATTTAATAAATTTTTTGCTCCCTTCACTTTTATTAGAAGTTGAGACCATCGCTCAATCAAAATCGACTGAATTTTTTGACATAGAACTTTGTGTCAAAGTGTAGAAGTTCAAGTTGCCACATCTCATAAGAGCATATACGAAGGTGGGCAAAAACAGAAAGAAGCTACAATAAATGAAAATACACAGGGGAAAAATAATTATATAGGAAATAATAAGGATATAATGAATTAGGAAGATCTCAAAGAGTGAATGCGTAGTAAACCCCTTAAACAGGAATTAGAACACAGGTATTTGTGGTCAGAGTCGGTTAGCCTCTTCACATCTTTCAATTTCAATGGACATATTTCACAGCCTTAAAGAAGGACACAGCGAATCGCTGCACAGTTCCTCCCCAGAATATAATGTCTGCACCCTAAACAGCAAATGCCAAATGAGCCTACTGCATCTCTGCTGAAATTTCCCCAGCAACCAGTACACTAAGGTTGATTTAACCTCCTAAATTAGTGTTGGCAACTCCCAATCTTTAAACTAGTAGCTTGTGTAAACAGGTCACGCGATATCACACCAGGAAAGCTTTGTGCACTTATTCCTCGTCTGCCAACACTTGGAATTGCTTTCTTCTTAAAAATACCTGAAACAGAAAGACCAATAGTATCCTTTTACTTCAGGACCCAGGCAACAACTATTTGAGGCCAATCTTGTTTGGAGTAATCTCCAGAGTTATTTCAGTATAAAGGCCTTAGGTCTGCCTGGGCACAGATACAGTGAAAGTAAGGATGTACGACTTTTGGAATAGGCCTTATTCAGTGCCCGCCCCCTAGAGCTGGGTGACAGAATAACTGGCTTGATGGTCATCCAGGGAAAGTAAATATGTAAGTGACTTATATGATGATGCTGACTACTTTTGGTCCGACACCTATCCAAAAGACCTTTGTTGCAAGATAAGGCGTGCAGGAGGTTTTGTCCAGCCGATGTGATTCGTTAGGTTATTGTGACATGCAAGTTTAACTATCACGTCATAGTAGCAGCTATCAATCGGGTGTATTGATCATATCTTCATCTTTAAACAGCTTCTGAAACAGATATACTTACTTGCCTTCATCACTTGCCATATTTCTTGACTTGAAGGCGATGTTTGACTCTGTCGATTGACAGGCACTATAGCAGTGCCTGGCGGTGAACGGAATATTGAGAAAGTATATCGCACTTACCACAGCACTCCACTCGAACTAATGCAGTAGCGTTAAAGCTTATGAAGAGTTGTTGTATAGAGTTAAAACAACTAGCGCTGTCTACACTTTTATTCAATTTCATTATAGATTTACTAATTGATGTCACACTGATAGACGTTAGCGACTTGGAGATTGTTTTCTCGTGAATATCAAATCTTTTCTATTTAGAGAATGCAGACTATATAGTCCTTCTAAGTGACAACACTTGAAAAATGTGAACCCTTCTCAACACCTTAAGCGGAAATCCCATGCAGACAGTTGAACATTCAACTGGATACTGCATATATATATATATATATATATATATATATATATATATATATATATATATATATATAATTTGCAGATAGACAATCTGAACTTTAACAAACGGTCACAAATAGAGGAAAGATTAACGCTCAGCGAGAAACCACCAATCAGAAGACTGTATTTGTTTGCTTACAATAATCTATAATAATGTACATGAAAATCTATAAATATCTGTTGATTTCCCAAATAAAAGATCTGTAGCGTGGTAATCAAGTGATTCGACCAAATCACATGGTACATTGAAGTACAGATATTTTCCTAATAGATAAAAATAATATGCATAGCACATTCTGATGAATAATATAATTTTTAAGTGTTGGTTTGTAGGGATTTGATTGGTTTCAGGATTTCATCATGAGCTGACAGTAGTTAGAGAACCATTGGAAAACCAGCAATGGAGTACTGGACAGCTGTTTCGTCCTAGTTTGGGACTCTTCATCAGTACGCACCCAGTGGCTTAATGGTATACGAGCTCGCCTCGTAACCGGAAGGTCCTGGGTTCGAATCCCGGTGGGTCCGTACTGATGAAGAGTCCCAAACTAGGACGAAACAGCTGTCCAGTACTCCATTGCTGGTTTTCCAATGGTTCTCTAACTACTGTCAGCTCATGATGAAATCCTGAATATAATTTTTAATTGAAGTGTCATATTGTTATCATGGTTAGGTAACGTAAACAAACAAATGCCTTGACGTTGACTTGGTAACAAATGTTGAGTGACAACATACCTAAACTAATAATATCTACGACACTGAAAAGAGAATTTCAGTCGATGAGTATTTAAATTGAAAAAAACAACTATTTCATTTATAATGTCAAATTCTAATGGAAGAAATGTAGTGAAAATTAAGAAGACTATTCATGATGAGAATTACAGATAATTACTGATCGCAATTCGAAATAAGGCCGCAGCAACAGCAACATAGCAATAATTATCCAAGACAGACGAAGGTTTGGTAAAAGTAACCATTAAAAATGTTTTTATTCACATCGGAACTCGACTGGTTTAACTTGCTCAAGATTCTAATTTGTTCTACTGATTTTTCTATTTGGAAGAAAAAAGTTTACTAGTGTGACAGTCTAAGAAATACCTGTTTTTATAAAGGTTTAATCACTTTTAGGACGACGCCGATTCAAACAAAATCAATTAATCCAAATACAGATCACAGATTTTAGAATCCATACTGCCTAATGTATTCTTAAAAGAGAGGATGAAAGTTACGTCTGATGAGTGTTTAACTATTCATTCCAAGATGAACACTGTATATGTTATAATTGACATGTGACTTTAGTTTGTAGTTTTTCCAACTCACATCTTAATAATAGAGGGAGTTAAACTTTTGACTAAGGTTGCAACACCATATATGCATCTACATGCACAAAAAGTGAGACGAATATTTTCTTGAAAGCGGTATTATTAGTTCTTTAGCCGTAAGGCCAATGACGTTTCCTCGCTCCTACAGTCTGATAAATGAATGACTGATATGGTGAGCACAGTTAATACTGGTATCAGTACTGCCTTAAACCAAAAGAATTGTAAAGCATGTTATTAAACTTTTTCGTGCACCAATGACAAGGCATGATAATGTCAGTTGGAAATTTATTGAATTACAAGAATATTACACAGTTACCGAAAATGATACACCAGCCCTACCTAATAAAAGAAAAGTGTGGATTAAAATGATCAAGATAATTCAAAACATGCTCGACGAATGTTGTTTTTAAAATTTTGACTTTTTTCCATACAAAAGTCATTACTTTGAGAAAACTAAATGTATTGAAAGTATAATCTCACCTGAGGATATCTATCTGTTGTTGTAGTCGATTAACCATATGGGTTGAAGGTTGAGAATGCTCACTGATTAATGGCGATTTAACTGATCCATTCTGAATTTAAAAACAAGTAAGCATTTAAATAAGTTTTAAAATAAATCCAAACCATACTCTGCAGCAGTTGGCTCTCCTCTGACAGTTATCATATACGATCATTGAAGCCATATAGTACAAAAAGGGAACATTTTTAACACAACTGTTTTCGTATGATGACTTATATGAAGCGCGAAAATAAATTAAGTAATCTTGGAATGAGAGTGTTAATTAAGGAAGCAAATAAAACTACAGGCTTGTTTGAAAGCACGAGAAAAGTAACAGCATCAATGGAGCCGTTTTTACTTTCGTAACTCTGGGGACCTGCATCTCGATGCAACCTAAAACATGACATCGTACAATAGGTGATAAATATTTCTAGTTCTACACTTCATATATATATATATATATCACATGGATAATTATAGTGGTTCGATACCTAGTTGAAGAATAAATGCAGCTACGATCTAGGTAACTAAGAACGAGAAGCTTACATATCACTTTAAGCCCTTAAAACCTATAGAAAATGATGTCATATCCCACTACATTTGATAATTTAAATGTACCTGATGTTATACAAACATACATAGGGAGGACTTCTAAATAAACGATCTGTTTCCTAGCCATTGTCTTCTGTTGTTACATTTGGTGTCGCTGCCTTCGCGAAATGAAAGTCCCATGGCGTGCAGCTTTTGAAGAAGGAGATATATGGATCTTCTTAAGGGAATTCGAAACTGTCGCAGAGTTGAATGGCGTGCATGAGCCATCAAAGAAGACCCTTTTACTTGAAACGCTACTGAGAGGTCGGGTGAAAGCAGCAAATGATAGTGTGAGGCAAACAGAAGGGCAAGCAACTTAGAAGTCAGTAGTTGAACGCTTGAAGCGGGAGTTTGACAGTCCGATGAACAAAGAGTGGGAAATGCAGCAGTTTCGCACCACGAAACTGGGAGTTGACGGTGATCCTCTCGTATTGGCACTGACCTTGACAAGCCTACTGCGTCGCGCTCTATTAACACTGGACGAAGATTCTGAGGAACAAATGTTGGCGTCCCGGTTTATGGAGAGTGTTCCAGAACATAAATCTCAACAGCTACATCTGGTTAACGCCGTACAGCCACTGGAAATTGGGGAGCTGGCGAAGGTGACCAGACAAATGTTAAGCAAGACGGTTTTAGCGGTAGAGCCACCAAAATCTCAGCAGTGTAAGAAACAAGCATTGCAACGTGAAGTGGCCGCGCTGAGACTGAGCATGCGGAAAGACCGGTGTTTCACATGTGGCAAACTAGGACAGTGGAAAAACCACTGCCCGGAGAGACTACGAGGAAGAATTTTTAAAAGGTACACTGTGTCTTCTTCCTGTGTTCTGAGACTTGAGGTAATGGGGCGATGGAGAAGGGGGCGATATATTCGAAGGTACGTGTAAATGACCGCGATATAGCCTGTTTAATTGACACAGGGGCAGCAGTCTCACACGTAGATAGGAGCCTATATGAGAGTATAAGACCTTGTTTGTTGACAGTGCAGACAGTGGGGGGTCACGTGTTAAGAATCGTGGGAATGTCAGATTGCAGGGTTAGAATTAGAGAGGATAGCGTGACGTTCCCATCCCTGGTCGTACCTGAATTGCGCCGAACAATCCTTGGGGCAGACATTTTGCGAGATGTAGATGCAGTGATTAACAAGAAGAAAAAGGTTGTCGTTACAAAGTATGGTTGTTTCAGCGTGCACGAGAATAGTAGGTAACAGGGATTGCGGCGTCGGAAGTCTTAAGTGTAGCAAAGTTACTTAGCAAATACGACCATCTTTCCACTGGAGAGGGAGTTTCGTACGGTTACTGTGATAAAGTGAGGCACGAAATTCCGGTGAAAAGCGGGAAAAGGAGACCATTTGTTACTCGAAGAGTCCCATGTCACTTAGAAAGCGAGGTTGCAAGACAGGTTGAAGAGATGTTGAGGGATGATATTATTGAAGAAGCCGATAGTCCATATAGTTCTCCAGTGCTATTGGTGAAGAAAAGCAACGGGAAATACAGATTTTGTGTTGATTTCCGACAATCGAACAGTATAACAGAACTGAGACCGTGCGCGATGCCAACAATAGCAGAAACTTTGCATCACTTACAAAGTGCGAAGCTGTTCACAGTCTTAGATCTGCAATTGGGGCACTGGCAACTGCCTATAAAACAAGGAGATAGAAATAATACGGCGTTCTTTGTGGGACAGAAACAATATCGGTTTAAACGTATACCTTTTGGATTGGCAGGTGCCCCATTTACATTCAGACGATTAATGACATTGCTGCTTAAGAATTTGGGGAACGTCGAAGTTTATGGAGATGGTTTAGTGATATACAGTACGAGCGAGACTGATCACGTAGAGCATGCAGAGGCGGTCCTAAGACGCATCGAAGAATTCAGTCTGCACATCAACAAGGCGAAATCTCAGATTGCTAAGAACGTTACGCTTTCAGGACATAAAGTGGGAAACGGTGAGATAACATCGCTGCCGGAAAAGTTTTAACAATCAAGTCCATTGGGCCTCCGAATTCGAAGAGGAAATTCAGACAGATTTTGGGAGAGCAGCATTCTATACTCGATTCGTGAAAAGCTTCAACAAAGTAGTGGCTCCGCTCTACCGGCTATTAGGCGAGTCAAAGTTCGTCTGGTCCGAAGACTCGCAGAGGTCATTTAACCGTATCAAACAGCTGATGGATCATCAGAGAATGACGCTGTGACTATCGGTGCCGGTAAAGCCGTTCATAGTGTCTCCCGATGCTAGAGATTAAGGAATAGGCGCTGTACTCAGACAGAGTGACGGGGTAGTCGAATACGCCAGCCGTGTTTTAACGCCCACGGAACAGAAGCATTCAACAGTTGAGGAGTATTTGGCGATTATGTTGGTGCTAGACAAATGGAGACCCTATTTACTCGGTCAATGGTTCCACGAAGAGACTGATCATAAGCAGTCTCAGTGGCTGAGAGCCGCCAGAGACCAACGTGGGAAGTTGCCACGGTGGATGTTGCGCCTGCAAGAGTATGATTTCACGATCTCTCATGTTCCAGGAGAAGAGAATGTGTTACCGGATATTTTAACTAGAACAGAAGAGGTAGAGTTACCTGAAATAGCATATGGTGTAAATGCCTTAGAGCAAGACCCAGCAAGACTTTTCCAGATTCAGAGATCAGACGACACCTTGAAAACTGTCACACAAGTGATAACCAAAGAAAAAAAGGTGAATCGACCCACAGCGAACCATGGGCTAAATCTCCTACTCAAACAGAGAGACCGGTTAAGCTTGAATGCCTGCGGAATGTTGACGAGGCGGGAGGATGACAGAAGCTGCAAAGCAGTAATACCTCAATTCCTGCGTCAGGAGATGATTCAGGAATGTCACCAACTAAAGCACACAGGTGTTGCCCGAACACACGATCTCCTGCGACAAACCATGTACTGGACGAGTATGAGAGAAGACGTCGAGAAGTACGTCACAGCGTGTACGCAATGTCAGCTGATGAAAGGTGATCAGTACATACGACCGTCACCGCAGTCGATTCCAGTGACAGCAGTAGACGACCTGTGGTCCGTAGATGTAGTGGGACCTTTTCCACAGACGTCCAATGGCAGTCAATATCTTCTGGTCATGACAGAACATGCCACATGATGACTAGACGCAGTCGCGATCCCTGATCAACGCGCAGAAACGGTCACAGAAGCATTGGTTTGACATATCGTTGCAAACCACGGTGTGCCAAAAGCGATATTGACAGACTGATATGTAGTCACGTGATGTCTGTTTTATTTTTGACAGTCTGATATATTTTGCTATGTGTATATTGATCGATATTCCACTATAACTCACAATATGCTTTGTCTGTCCATTAACTAAATAAACAATGTATGACCTTTTTGTCACATGACATTACAACCAATCAGAATCCAACGATAGTAAGAAAAGCTACTGTCTGTCCTATTGGTTCATGTATATTAGTAATTTTCATATATACTCTGCATTGTACACTTTTACACACTTGTTCACACCTTTCGTACACTATGTACCCTTTCACTCACACACTTGTGTGACAGTCAATTTCCTTTGTTGGAAAACACAAGTATCATCGTGAACGTGGTGGCCTTTCTGATTTCCCTTTACGCGTCAGGACAGTCGGTGGAACAGTGGTAAGGACTCTCGCCGACCATGCACATGGTTCGAAGTTCGATCCCCTGCCGACGCACACCTGATATCTATACCTGCAAACTTTGGGCTACCGATATCCATGCTGAAAATTCCATACTTGTACCAAAAATACAGTGTGGAATCAAGTTGTAATCAAAATATAAAATAAAAAATAACTACTCAGCAGTACATAACATTAATTGGCGACGAGTTCATAACACAGACCAAAGTCCGTATTTTGAAAGCGAAACAAAGGGTATAGGGGCAGTACCCCGCATTCGATATCGGTGATCAAGTCAAATGTAGAGATAGGCGAAACACCGGCGGACAAGTGCCAGGGTCGGGAAAACTGCTACCATACACGGTCACCGCGATACGGGGTCACGTATACACCATCAAGAATGCAAACAGAGAGAAGCGGGTGAACGTCAGCAAGCTCCAGAAATGAATAGAACGAGACAAGCCAACGATGACGTCAGCACCAAGAAGATCAAGCCGACTTCAGTCCAAACTATTTGACGGGGGGACGAGTGTGGTGAGAGCTAGCTGCTAGCCAAATTGGTAGACAGTAATTTACGTCCTCAATGTTGGTCGCGAGAAAAATATGAACAAAGACTGATTCAACAACCAGTCACAGCAGACTTTGCATAGGCGGATGCAATTTGCAGATAGAGAATCAGAACTTTAATAAACGGTCACAAATAGAGGAAAGATTAACGCTCAGCGAGAAACCACCAGTCAGAAGACGGTGTTTGTTTGCTTAAAATAATCTATAATAATGTACATGAAAATCTATAAATATCTGTTGATTTCGAAAATAAACGATCTGTTGCCTGGCCCTTGTCTTCTGTTGCTACAGATTTATCGAGCAGAATTTTGTTATCCAGACTAACAACAATCATTCGCAGGACACTATGCCACACACCTGTCAGTCATTTTTCAGTCAACAAATGGTTCTGCGCAAAGTGAAGATATTCTAGCTAGTTTTGCTACGTCCATGTATATTTGTCAATCCAGTTGCTTTTACGAAGGTAGTTGTGTAGCAACAGAAGACAAGGCCAGACAATAGATTCTTTATTAAGGAAATCAACAGATATTTATAGATTTTCATGTACATTATCATAGATTATTGTAAGCACAAAAACAGTCTTCTGATTGATGGTTTCTCACTGAACGTTAATCTTTCCTCTATTTGTGGATGTTTCTTGAATGTCAGATCATCTATATGTTAACTGTATCCGTCTACTTAAAGTCTTTGTTCTTAATTTTTCTCACGACCAATATTTGGGACATAAACATTGACGTAAATTAATGTCTACCACTTCGGCTAGCAGCCAGCTCTCACCACAGTTGTTCCAGACATAAAAGTAATCAGCTTAGCCAGTGTGTCTCAGATGGTGCAAAAGACATTGAACTAAAACTAAGGCACCCAAAGTGTTTCATAGTATTTCCTTAATGCTCTTCGCACTTGTCTACTGTATATAATAATATACATTTATTCCTGTCTATGTAGGAATGAACTATATGACTGAGGTTACTGATCAGCTTAAACTCGGTTTAGAAAAAGTTGGTAGAGGCATTATCTACTTGACTACCTAGGGAAAAGTAAATTAATTAAACCTCCATATATAATTTTAAATCCCATTCTCATAATTTCTTCAGTCCAATTAACCAAATTTTAACTTTACAACAAGTGTCAATCTGTTTCATAGTATTATTGCTTTTCCATTAAATCTAGATTTATCTGCTTTTTCTTCTACTCGTACTACAATCCACCAAAAAGCCACCATAATTATCATCTCTAAATCTTATTTTTGAATATGTTGGAAAAGAAGGTAGTTCGAAAGTTACGCCTTACTATACACGTAAGTACTTTGCAACTTACATGGTATAAAGAAAAAAAATACAGCCATCTGAGATGATGCTTTGATGACGAGTAATACAACTTAGTGATCAAACCAATGAAGATTTGGTTAAGAAACACAAAACATACATTATTATGATTATCCACTGATAAAATTCGTTCGTTTCTTAAGTTCACTTGGTTTTCTTGATCTAAACAACATGAGAATGAAAGATAAGTACAACTGTTATTAAATGAATTACTTCAACATATGCAAAATATTGCAGTGTGAATAGACCAATTATCTGCGACTAATTTGAAGAAAGCTGCCAATATAACAATTATCCTACATCATAAAATTGAAAGGAAGTGGAAGAGTATAGCAAGTGATGTATCCCAACCAAATAACTGCATGTTATATTCTTGTCGAAAGGCATAATTGTTCTAACCTGGGAGATACAAATTCCTGTGAACTTATTGCCTATTACTCTTTTACTTTGTACAAACGTCACTACATTATTTATACAAAGTCAATATTTAACCGAATAGCTCCACAAAATTTCGGTATCGAGTGAGAAGCAGACATATGTAAAAACACTGCATTTGTATTAATCTCAGAGAACTTGAAATAAATAATTTCACTATTCCTTTCGGCAAACAGGTTCGAACTTTTCCGGGGAAATAATCAAAATTAGAATACCGAGGATTTATGTCAAAGAATACGTCTTGTCTTCAGAATCCTTGTCCAATGATATCTGAATCATAAACAGTGATTAAAACAAAATACATTCAATATTATTTCGTTTTGATACTTTGATAATTTCATTGAAGAAGTTCTGACCAGTTCTCCAAACGAAAAATTGGAATTACTTATTCCATTTTCCCTGAGATCTATACTAATACATATATCATGTCAATTGCTATCAAGCAAAACATATCGGGTGTCTGAAATGTAATGTTTTAGTGTTAAAGGATTTAAACCACACTAAATAAATGTTAGATAAAATAAAACAGCAATATAATCCAAAAGGAAAAGTAGTGTTGTATTTCAGCCGAAGAGTAAACGCTTTCAATATTCCCTCCATTACCAGGTAGCATTTTCTTTAAACTTCTACCCAACAGAGGTTAAAACCACCACTAGCTTCCTCTGAATTACCTTACGTCAAAGAGTTATAGCGACCTTTAAACTCTCATTTACACTTGTTACTTCATGCTCATTTGAAATCTTTTAATAGATGAATCTACTGTGAATACCTAGCTTTCGATACTATACCTTAAACATATTAAATGTTCACAGAAAGAAATATATCTTTAATTGGTGGATGGTGAATAGCAGTGGAATCCAGGAAGGGGAAATCTTAAATTGAATGAAACATACCTTACATACGTACAATTTTTCATTAAAGACTATTGCATAAATCAGAAATAAATATATTCAGAATTAACTAATTATAAGTACTATACAGTGTAATAATAATAATTATTTGCTATTCCGATAAACTGATCATATTCCGAATTAGAGACCATGAGTGATTTCATGGTCGTTTGTATCAGTTTTCGGAGAGAGAGTTGTGAGTCAGGAAGAGTAAGGATGCAGAATGCATTCAACTCGATAGTTCCATTTTGTAATTAGGTGAAGGATCTGTAAATGACGATAAATATAACAAATATTTGATAATATGGCATCCTTGATATTTCAAAAAAAACCTTTCATTGCTGGGTGAAATAACTAGCGAAATAAAAAAATCAGGTAACGACAGGTTACTCTGATTTATACAGCACACAAAGATATAGCATTACTTACTGATGTTTCCAATAAGTTACTGCTATTAATCATATCAGGGCATTAATTTAGTTTTCCGACTCTCAAAAAACCCTTTCTGCCTATCTCATCGCTTCATTTTAGTAATCAACAACGTTTCCCGTGCGACAAGAGATTATTTGTATCACGAAACTACATGTAGTTACTTATATCTGTTGCAGTAATGCACACAGTCAATGGTTTGGTTGAAGATACGAAACTATTGGAGATTCCAAAACTTATGAGTAACAATTACTCAGTGTCCTGTGGTTCCAACCAACCTTCCAGTTCATGGTGATTTTCAGTCAAATTGATAGATCGCCTAAATACTACTCGGTTAAATAATCAGATACTAAAGATGAATAGCACACCAAATAGAAAAATACAAAATGAAAGAGCAGAAATGCTGAAAAATACAAGATTTTAATAAGAGCTCACCTTTAATAGATTTCTTCACAACGCTGTAATCACCTTCAGACACGCTCTTCTCATCCTTTTCAACGAAACGGTGGATGGGATGACGTGAGTCAGGACGATCTGTATCCGACTTTAAAATCACTCAACGTAAAAGCAGAGATAAATATATGAGATCAACTATCTTAAATTGCAAACGTAATGCAGATATACATGCGTGAAGTATTATGTAAGTATTACAGAAAACTGTGCTACCCACTGCCATTAAGGAAGTCACTCATATCTTCCCTTACACTGTTAATTTATATCACAGTGCAATGAACTCTATTACCGAACACAGAAGATAAAAAATAAGAAACGTTATATATACATATATATAGTTTTTTAACCTCCAATACATTTTCATCTAACAAAATTTTCAAAAAGCACATCTGTCGTTTCATATTGATCTGGGGGTGATCACAAGAATTTGATCATCTACTTCTTCTAAAGTATCTGGCAGACCAGAAATCACTCGGGAAAATGGTACAACTGACCGCAAGTATCACAGATAAAGACTTCGGGAACGATATCAGAATGCCAAACTTTCAGTTTCGTTAGGAATAATTCTAGTCAACAAGAAAAAACTCATTTTCTCATTGAATTTTTATAAATACGTGAAAAACTTAAACATCCCTTTTAAACGGGGAATTCTTCAATTAGTGAGTAGGATAAGTGGATTACTCATAACGGTATATGCCTTGTAATCCTTCAGTCTGTATACTATTGACGATGAGTAACGAAGTAACATATGTCTTTTTCTTGTTATTCTAAGAAATATAAACCATTGACAGATGACTCCGAACTGCAAAATTTTTAGAAACCAAGATATATTCCAAGTAAAATACAGGTCAGGGCTGTTAACTAACAAAAGTAACTCTACTGATTTATAGAAGAATATAATAATGATGGGTTACAAAAAACCTACAACTCAAAAGCGATAAGCTCGAAATAAGTGAGATCTAGAAGACGCAGATAAATGAAACGAAATGCAGTACATCCAACAATCTCTGTACAAATAGAATGAATCGGTGACGAACACAATATAGTAGTATGAAAGACTGATTCTCAGGTTACCGAATTTTCGTGATAAACTGCTCACTGAATTCGCCGTGGTAACGATATTAAACTTCTGTATATGATTAAACTATTTACTTCTATTTTCGAAACCACAGCTACGGATTTATTGCAGGTTGAAATGGACTATAAGAATTATAATGTCTCGAAGCTAGTGATTTTTTTAAAAATACCTAAAGGTTTACACACGGCATTAATATGTGTAAAACTTGGGCATGGTGGTAGTAAGTAATTCTACATTAGTTTGTTTATTAGATATGTCACACTGTGAAACATTATTTACATACAGTACTGATAAAATATAATTTAATAGACTTTTCCAGTAAAAGCAGTACCCTTGATACATCAGAATGACTCATATGAAGGAAGACAGTATCAAGGCTTTATGAAATAAATTCTTTAACACCTACAGTAGGTGCATTAAATTTCGATAAACTGGACAGTAGTTTAGAAATGAGTACATAGAAGTTCAGTATGACGATAAAGTTAATATTCGCTGAGGAAATCATGAATTACAATTCACTGAAAGATAAAATACTTCTATGCACACTTGAATGAATAAACTAAAAGAGTCTACTTTGATTTTTCTTAATACTGCTACAGAAGTAATGAGACACGTATGATCATTTAAACCAGAAAAAAATATGAACGAATAGTTGCTTATAGTAACTCCCTCAGGTCCATAAACACTTCTAAAGAATAACCAGTAAATGAGAAGTTATAGTCATGTCAGAAACAGTAAAGTGTTGAAGAGAATCGAACACGATTGAATTGAAAAGTAGAATATTAAGCAGTTAATTTCGACAGCGGTTCTTTAATCAGAGCGAGTGAATAGCCCCACGAAAAGAAAGTGTAACTAGCAATCCTATCTAGCAAAATTAAAGCCGCTGATACTGAAACTTCAAAGTTTGAAGCCCCATGTCCCAAGCGGAACACAAGAAATGAACAAATTGCTATTTCAAGGACGACATATCTGCTAGTAGGCTGACCAGATCTGTTTAATTCAAGTCTGCTTTTCAACTAGGCGTATACTGACACTGCATGAGAGCTAAGTTGCCGACGTCATCCGCATAAGTGTGTGTACGCAAATTTAGCTGTTCCTGTGGTGATAGTTATATGGTCCGCACTCCGAGGTACTAATCCCTATGCGGAATATAAAATTCGACGTATAGACCACATAATCATTTCATCTAATATCTTCATTGACTGTACATTTTGCATTTATTCAATAACTATCAAAATTAACTGCTTACCATCCCAACTTTTAATTCAATTGCATTCGATTCTGTCTCTGATTCAATCATAACTCTGCCCCTAATACCTATCGTACGATGAAGTTTATGGATTCATAGCTTCAAAGTTTGTTAGAATTACTCACAACAGCTGTTCTGTTAAATCTCTCTCTCTTTTTGAAATACCTAGTTGGACCTTCAGACGCTTTTCCTATGGCTATATTATTACGTTGCACTAACCTAAATAACATTGAGACATGACCTTGAAAAAGACACCAAAGAACAAACTGAACGTAATTGGGATTTTACATTATTAAGTTGCTGAATTCCACTGAGTTATTATTCCTCGTATAAAAGCCATGTTTTGATAACTGAGATGATACTACCATCGTGGAAAGTTAAGGTGTGCATAAAGCAGAGTGAAAATGAACTTAAGTGAATAAAAAACCGTAAGACTATTTAAAAAGCAAGACGGGAGAACGATACAGTTACGAAGAATGATTATGAGCTATTTTATGAATTATGACAGTCACGAATACTACTAGATAAAACATTCGTAATACTATGTAGATAACTAGAAACAATATGAAAATGTTAAGGATGAGTTGAACTTGATTAGTTTAAATAACAATTAAAGGCCAAATTTGTGTAGCTTATATATATATATAAGGTTTTAAGCATAGAAGCCAAAATGACAAATGGTACACCTTTTGAAAAGCTAAGGGAAATGTTGCTTGCTAAACATTTGAGTTGTTGAGACTTTCATCTTCGTAGACATGTTCCCGAGATAGGGAATAAGGGTTCAGTTCCTTTTCCTGATTCTGTGTTCGTAAGCATCAAAAGAGACAGGAAATCATCATCCACTAGAACAGTATTTTCTGAAACAATATAGATTCGGAAATGTCCTCTTGAGTATCACTTCTAACTTCCAGAAGATGACAGACAACACGTCTCGGTATAGTAACTGAGAATTTTGATAAAAACAGTTACTAGAAAAAAAAGGGTAAATAAAAGAACGGCATTTAAATTTACGACACGAAACGCTTCCGATTATTTTGATATGAAAATAAAAATCGAGATGCCAAAAGCACTATTACCATTTGTCTTCTACGTTTAGAGTCGGTTGATTTCAGTTCACTGAGAAAACCATAATCGTCTACAATCTCTGTTTTTTCACCATTTCGGGACGTTTTGGCTGTAACAACATCGAATGTCTTCGTAACTACGCTGCTCTCGTTCCCATTTTCCCTGGTAAATTTTAATAAGAAGAAGCCGTTTAGTTGAGGGGAGAAGTTTCAAACTAAACGACTAACATATGATTATGAACGTTCAGGATTATATGAACTGCTTTTATAAATCTCAAACTTCTAAGAACTTCACGGCAAGCCCATTAAACCTATAAAATACGCAAAGCCAATTACTTAATTCCATTTCACACCAAAAGTAAAAGTTTGGTCCGGCTACTTTCAGCGTAATTCGCAGAAATGTCAACTCTACCTGGAGATGTAGAAAAACATGAACGGAATCTCTAAGATCTATTATGCCTTATGTCTTAGCGTTTAGATAAGAAATTATGTATTAGAAAAGGTTATACCGTTACAGAAAAAGGCCTGGACTTTTCTTGAAGTATCTGACAACGCCGAACAGTAGTGCAGTGAGAACTCATGAATATTTTGGTTGCCATAATAAGCAGAATTGGAAATACTACGTTTCCTATATCCGGGTTGCCTTTAGAAGCCTTGTAACCACTTAATTAGCTTATTCTGATACAGATTTAGTATTATTTGTCAAGTAAATAAAAACAACTATAATTCAGTGCTCAAGCGTCATTTAAATTCCTATCTAGTAAATCAAGCGGCAGATGCACATAAAACTGTATCCATAGTTTTCACCATTACGCAAAAATGATGTTATGAGACTGTTGATGTCACAGCTTGAAGTAGTTTTCAATAGCGTAGATGTATCCATTGCTCATCTTTCGAATTCTCAAAATTCTCACTCACTTTCATCTAATTATTTTTCTCCCGTATATTTCCGCCATTATATCTCCAGTACATTTCTCCAGCTTGGTAGCTTAAACTACCTAACTTTTATACACAAGTCTACGGTTTGTATAGGTGGTTTTTGACAGCACAATAAATGAAGAGGTTTTGACTGCTTTTGATTGTCAACGGCATAAATTCTATGCCTTGAGACGTGGCTGTCTTAACAATAGGTGATACCACTTCATCACCTAAAAAGGGATGCACCCATAAATTCGAATTTCGAGTCCCCAAAATTCTAAAGCACACGCAATAACTTTGATGATACACTGAACAAAACTGACTGCTTACCTACTGTATAGAACGGCCAGAATAATGTTAAAAGGATGGAATGTGAACTTAGATAGGTTACTCTGTATACGAAAGAAAACTGACTGAAGACAATGAATCCAATTCAGGAGAGCTAATTTTTTACGTACTTATTTTTAGTCACAATTAATTAAAATTGAGTTATTCAGGACAGATTCTTCACGCATTAAGGTATGAACAATATTTACCGCGTGAAGGCTAATAAAACTCCATTGCCTAGGCCGACGTAGGTATAGCATAATTCGAACCCACGACCCACTGTCTCGAATTCAAGTGCTAAAGAACATAAGCCGCACTTGATTCACAGTCATCTAGAAGTAAATATGCGTAAATAACCATAAGACTGACGAAAAGCAGATTGTCTTATGTTTATAGAAATCTTATAATTACAGTACTCAAAATAACTACACGCTGAAAAAATAGTGATGATTCTGAGAGTACTCATCGATAATAGTTTCAGCTTTGAAGTTCGACGACGTAAAATAGCAATAATACTCGAGTATAAGCACGAGTAACACTAAGTATGCTTTCAACAAAACTATTATTATTTAAAGACGAAAGCTATTTAAAATCAGTTTTAATCCACATGGATTTAGTCAGACTACAATCTAACTGCCGATACACAACAAAGTGAAAATGCGCCTAGTAAACTTGATAAAGACATCTTCCATGGAGCTTACAGATGTCTAATTTTTACTGACTAGTATACGAATCTAGTGGTCACACTTCTATCATCACCTTAATGGTAGGCCAAACTGGACTATAACTTAAATATGCAGTAGATGCCTGGATTACTTGGAAGCTAAGTGGTAAAACAGCCCTCAAGAACTTGTCTACTTTTCCAGTCACCATTCTTAGAAAATGCTAAAATCTAAACTTACAGTGAAACTGCTACTGCCCTTAAAATGTGACTTCCGGGTGGTAGAGTAAACGGTTTCACAAACTTATAAGTTCCGGTATTCAGAAGCTCCTTTCGACATTTTAAAACCGTTGGTTTACTCCCATTAATTGTAAAATAAATGGCTACATCTGGGGTATCACATGTGATTTCCAGATAAGTGCCTGTATCCAAACGAGATTTAAATAATCCAGAATCTGGACTTCGCAAGGGGATGACCAGTGGAGCCCGAATAGCTCCAGCAGACATTTGCTCTGAAAATAAAAAGCTGAGTCAGAAAAGTAAGGTTAATTCACTAAATGAAAGTCGTGCTCAGTGACATTTTTATTTAGAATAAAAAATAGGGAAAATACAGGCACATATTAGATTACAACCAATGAGAAGAAATGCATTGACCGGTCCAAATATCACAACAAACCCAGCACCAGTCCAACCCACATAACGAACAGTGAATATGGTTGCATCCACCAAACTTCTGAGTCGGAGACTTGCAGCGTGGACAAGGGTGACACGTTTCACTTATGCATTTGCGACTTTCCCTATCATCAGTTGTTAATTTTAACGACTTCCATACAGAGTTACAGGCGGAAGAAGAAGACTGTGTAAGAGGATAAGACCTCCCTTCACAAAGACACTTCACAGGATCATTTTGGGGACTGGAATTCATGAATTTGCAATGCCAACCACATGAAGAGCAAAAAAGTGATGCACAACCCAGAGGCGGGACACACAAATGCCAATCGCAGGGGAGTGTCACGTCCGAGTTTGTAACTTGCCAGTCTAAACCACAAGAAGGGCAAAAAGTGCCTCCTTTTAATACTAAGTATCTTTTAACCGACTGCTCTTTGTAATGGGAATAAAACTCAGGACCAAGAAGACGAAAGTGATGAGGGTCGGTTAAAAATGAGGCAGGACACCCGGCTGGACAACCAATGGTATATCCAATATTTTCAACAAACTGGAACATTCCAGCATCGAAATACTCTTTTGCGTACTTTTTGAAACATTCCGTGCAAATAGAGTGATCCTCACTATCACAAAAGCTAAACAATAGTTCGACTTCTGGTGACGAACACGCTGCACACTCTGTCCTGTTGCAGTTTTGTTTGACATGTTTGAGATAAACTACTGGCTTGTGTTTGGCAGAAACTGGACATGAAGATTCTAGTAGTGTTTCGGTGGAGGAACAGTCCCCGCCACTGCCTAGAGAACCATTGTTATAAATGCTGGGATCAGATGGAGAACCAACAGAGACTGAAGAGTAGTGGACATCCTCACATTCATAACAAAATATGATTTTTCGTTCCTTAGACTGTCTCTTGTTAACATATACACGACAATTAGGCATGAGTCCAAAGTCTACTAATTTTGCCTCTTCTTTCATAACCTCCTGTCCAAACGACGTTTCCAATGACAGGTAGTGTATATCTGCATCAATTTCTAAATCTTGACAGACTCTCTGTTTAAGAAAAAGTACATCCCACTGCTCGCTAACATCGAACTTAACCACCCTGTCAACATAAACAACGATTAGGAACATCACTTAAATAGCCCACACTGGAGAACTCAGTTAGTGTTACGTAAAAACAAGGCCGTAGATACAGGAACTACTTTATACTTAGGTAAGATAAAAGTCTTCAAAATTTAGATCACTTAAATTCGATGTCTTAAACAATATTTCTTTCCTAGTACACCTTAATGTCATTCATAGATTTTATTTCGGTTCTGTGCGATGCTTCAATCAATGGTATATCGCTCTGAACAGCCAGTCGATTTTAGTGTACAGTAATGGTGGACTTTCTAAACTTTTACATGAAAAGTTACTCCTTCGGCATGCATAAAGCTAACAGTGAAAGATTTCACGACAAAATCTAGTCGTACACGGAACATAGTTCATTTTCATTTACAGTTAAAGCCCATGTTATTCCTTATGATTTTCTCTACTACGAAGATCTAGTATTCCAATATCCAATATCGTTTTTATGAGCTAGTATAAACCAATTTGATTTCTTTGTTCTCGTTTCTTGATTGTAAGGTATAGGTTCCTGATCTTCAGTAAACTTCTGCGTAGCTCGTCCCGCCACTCGACTGTCGTAGCTTTGGTTGACTCCAAAGGGAGTAGTGCTGGGATTAATTTTATGTGGTTTGTAGTATGAGGTGTGTTAAGACTGTTACTACTGTGATTGGAGTTGATCCTTTCGCCAGTTAATCCTCCGGCATCGTCGACAAGAGAAAAGAGATGGTAATAATAATAATGCTAATAATAGATATAATTACTGAAGTTATTCAGACTAAGAAACAGAAACGGAAATAGGAAACGTAACAACAGTCAGCTCATTAAGTTTGAAGAATAATATATATATCGGTAATAATAATAATAATAGTAATTATAATATTAATAAGTTGTCAGGAGAGTAAGACGGGAGAGAATGTAAAGAAGTAAAACGACGAGTTTAATTGTCTACCCTGAATGGTGTATGCGATTTTAAGGAGATAGGCCATTTGGATGCAGTCCTTGTATCGCTGCATGGTTGTCCAGCCTTTGCTTAAAGGCGTCCAAAGACGGTGCCATAGCTACATCTGCCGGCAAGGAATTCCAGGGACGACAAACCCACAGTTAAAAGAAGTGGGAGCCCACCCGTGTCCTTGCCCTCTGGTGAGCTATCCTTCTGGGATTTCCACGTGAGAGCCTTTACCTACTCAATGGCAGAACACCTTTGTTTGGGTGATTCTGGTCATTTGTTATTTTGTGGGCAGTAATCAAATCCCCCTAAGCCGACGGTAGCTAAGTGTGAACAGGCCTAATTTCTTCAGCCTTTCATCATATGGTTTATTTTGGAGACCGATCTCTCCTTTTGTTGCCCGTCGCTGGACTCTTTCCAATAGGTTGGCGTCTCTTCTCAGCATTGGGGGTGCAATAATATTGTTCACCTCAAGGTGTGGCCTGACGTATGTTTTGTACAACATTAGAAAGAGCTCAGGAGTGAGTGCACCTAACTGTCTATGCGTAAAGTGTATGACTGCATATGGCCTCGCTACATCCCCTGTGTAATTTACGCTTGTGTCCATTTTTTCCATTAGAACTAGACCTAAGTCGCGTTCTGACGTTGTGCAGGACAAGCTTTCATTGCACAGAGTGTAACTTGCATTCTGCAGTCTACAGGTGCGCAACTTCACTACTTTGCCCTTTTTCAAGTTGAAAGTCATGCCACTGGCCACCGCCCAGTCTTCCAGAAGGTTTAGATCTTCCTGCAGCCTATCTGAGTCCTCTGGACACTTTATCGCCCTCCATATTTTTACGTCGCCAGCGTATAGGAGAGTCGGGCAGCTCAGACGGCGTAGTAGATCATTTATGAAAATCAAAAACATCAGTGGTCCTAGGATAAAACCCTGCGACACTCCTGATGGCGATCTGTGACAAGATGATCGGACTCAGTTAACCCTAGTGCAAAATTGCCTGTCGGCTAGGCAGTCCTTCAACCATGACAGAAGTGGCTCACCTATGCCTGCCTGGCTTACTTTATGTAGGAGAAGGTCATGGTGAACTGTGTCAAATGCCTTCTCAAAGTCTAGGAAGACCACATGGACTGGTACATTCATATCACAGCATGATGTCCAGTCGTCCCAAGCTGACAGTAGGTTAGTGACGCAGGATCTGCCTTTTCAGAAACCATCTTGGGCCTTATGTAGTATATTAGTCCTATCGAAATATTCCCTGATGTGGTCGTCAATAATACTTTTCAGTACTTTTGATACCACTGGGAGTAGAGCTACTGGTATATAACTAGTAGCGTTTTGCCTGTCCCCACCTTTGAAGATTGGAGAAAGGATGGCTCTTTTCCACTCCCTTGGCAGTGTCCCCGAATCCATTGAGTGTTGGAACAAGTCGCACAGGGGTCTACAGAGAGCTTCGGCGCACTGTTTCAGAACAGATAGCCTGATGTTGTTACAACCTGGGGACTTCCCAGGTGTGAGTCGCTGTAGCTTCCTAAGTGCTGTTGCGGGTTTATTTGGCGAGTAGCCAATTGGTCTTCCTCCTGTGAAATAGTAGTGCCACGAATTTTGTCCGTAACTGTAATATCCGCATTGCTGTTTAGCTGTTTAGCGAAGCCTGAACAGAATGTTTCAGCCATCTCCAGACTAGTGAGATATTGACCGTTTGGGCCTACCAAAGGGCATGGCCCCTGGTTTGTCGGTTTACATTCCGACATGAATCGGTACAAGTTTTTAGAGTTTGCTTGGAATTGTTTAGCAAGGTTAGCCTGGAATGACCTCCTGTCTCTCCTGACATTTGCTGTCAATGGAGTTGAAGATTGAACGATCAATTCATGGTTGTTTGCTCAAAATCAACTTCCCCAATTTTCGCCGAGGCATCAATACGACAGTCATCGTCTCATCGGTCGCTGTTCAGAAAGAAGTCAGTAGCAAACCATCAGAAACCCTAGTAAAAATATTATTTTTATATGTTGGTGTAACAATAAAGAATTCTCGAGTGGCCAATCGGTCTTTTGGTTTTTCGTCCGTTATTACTAAGCGTTTCTGAAAAACTGCAAGGAACAGCGTGGGCCCGAGCGTATCAAGAGCTGGGCATTAACGGTTTATGAGACGTGACTGACAGTTTCTGATGGTAGAAACAGACTCTGGCGCATTCAGAGAGTTGGTTAAAGTTTGGATAGTCACCGTTCATCTTTCCTGGTGCTGGTCAAGTCCTCTTTGAACAAGCAATACCTGGAACGTTTTTGGAATTGGGTCAGGTTCAACAATGCCTGGGTCAAAAAAAGGACAGAGCGTCTTGGATGCAAACAGGAAAGTAAGTCACGGTGACTTGTCTGTTAATTGTAACGATGTGCCTGATGTTAAGCAAGATATGGTTGATGTTACTGTTTCGCCGTTCAGGGATAATAGGAACATCAAACTCCCTAAGTTTGAACCACGGTGTTTTGATGGAAACCCAGCTGATTATTTACAATTTGTAAAGGAGTTTGAGATCATGTTGAGTGCTTTTTATTAAACGATGAAATGAAGTTAATGTATTTGATGAGATATTGCACTGGAGATGCTGCAAGAGCTATACAGTGCTGTAAGTTTATGAAGCCAAAAGAGGGCTACTACGAGGCTATGAGCATATTACGCCGAAGGTTTGGAAGACCCTCGATGATTGCAGGGAAATTATTCGAGGCTGTTAAGGGTAATCGTGGTCAATTACAGGATGACTCCCAGGCACTCACTGAGTTTTTAGATAATTTGCTAATTTACAAGAATGGAATGATTTCGATGAATCGCATGAGTGACCTCAACCCGAGTTTTATCCTAGAAGTAATAGCAAGACGTCTACCTACTCGACTGCAAAGGAAGTGGGTGAAGATAAGCTCTCGTATGCATGATGAGGGTATCGAGCCAAAGTTTGATGATATCCTGAAACTGGTAAGAGATAGCGTCAATCAATCTATGAGCAAGTTTTCCAGTCTATTACATCTCACCCCTAGAATAGAGCAGTCTGAGAGCAAAATGCCATCATTGATGACGAGTAGGCCTCAGAGAGGTGGATATCGAGAAGGCTCCATGATATCTAGTAATGCATATATACCTAGTGAGTGTAACAGGTTTCGTAGTACATCCTCAACAGATAAGTTACAAGATGCAAGACAAACATTGTTGTGTTTTACACGTTTGCAAGAGGTGCATACAGAAGTGAACTGTGAACCAGTGAGCAAGTTCAGTGATAAGCTAAATGTAAACTTCATGCCTTACTCCGAATTGTGTGACGGTAACGGTGCGGTCAAGAAGTCTGTAGTTGCAACTGGTAAGCCGTTGCTGAATAGAGTGTCACAGAATAGAGTTACTGCTTCAGAGTGCAGTTCTGACTCCACAAGTTTACAAAGTATAACTAGTCAGAGTGAAGATATAAAACCTTTAATGATTTGTGAGGAGGAACCAAAATTGTCTACTTCTGTTAACAAAGAGTTTGAAAATAATAAAGTTGACGGTAAATTGAATATTCGTGATAATGATCATGATAGTGCAGATTTGTCTTTGGTTGATCATGATGAAATGGAGGGAATGCCTACTACTGCTAAGTTAAATAAAGGTTCCGTACAACTTGAACGTGAAGTAGAATTGAATGCAGTTGCAGAAGGCATGCATACTTGTCAAACCGTCAGTGTAATTGATCAGAGTGAAGCCCACCTATCATCAGATGCTAGTGTTAAACCTGAGCTGATAGTAAAAGAAAGCAGTGGTGGTGGTCTTGCATGTAGACAAATTTCTGAAAGCCGAGCAACAACAGCTTTTGATCCACCGCTAACTTCATCAACTGATATCAATCAGTCGTCGTTAGTGCTGTCGTCCACAATGAAACAGACACCCATCAACTCAAGTATCTTCTGCAATGACTATACTAGTATCAGTTCGTTTGAAAGGACGAATATCAATGGTCAGTTTAGTGAGGATAAGCCAAGTGTAAACGAGAGAGTAATTGTTAAATTGACTTGCACGAATAAAGGCATTTCTAGTTTCAAGTTACTTTTTGAATGCTATTAT